CCAGAGGGTGGAAGAGTTCTCTGTGTGGGATAAGGGGGGGGGGGGGGGGGGTATGGGATGAGAAAACTAAGATCTGGACAGAAGCATCGCATCAAGATGAGATTATGCAAGCAGGAGACTGAGAAACATGGCCAAAGAAAGCAGGAAAACAAGGAAGTTCTAGAAAATTTTGTTATTGTTTATTCATTCAGTCGCTTCCGACTCTTCGTGACCTCATGGACCAGCCCACGCCAGAACTCCCTGTCGGCTGTCACCACCCCCAGCTCCTTCAGAGTCAAGCCAGTCACTTCAAGGATACCATCCATCCATCTTGCCCTTGGTCGGCCCTTCTTCCTTTTTCCTTCCATTTCCTTTTTCCTTCCATTTTCCCCAGCATCATAATCTTCTCTAAGCTCTCCTCATTATGTGGCCAAAGTACTTCAACTTTGTCTCTACTATCCTTCCCTCCAATGGGCTTTATTTCCTGAAGTATGGACTGGTTGGATCTTCTGGCGGTCCAAGGCACTCTCAGCACTTTCCTCCAACACCACAGTTCAAAAGCATCTTCCTTCGCTCAGCCTTCCTTATGGTCCAGCTCTCACATCCGTAGGTGACTATGGGGAATACCATTGCTTTATCTATGTGGAAATTTTTACAGGGGACTAAAGGTTTTTGCACTGCTGCACCAGACATATGAAGGAATAGGCTGAAATATATGGGCTTTGGTGGTTACCTTCCTACCTTCGGCAGGAAGGTAACGGCGCTCCATGCAGGCATGCCGGACACATGATCTAGAAGGCATCTATGAACAATGCCAGTTCTTCGGCTTAGAAATGGAGATGAGCATAGATACCGCTTTGACAGGAAGGTAACGGCGCTCCATACAGGCATGCCGGACACATGACCTAGGAGGTTTCTGTGAACAACGCCGATTTTTTTGGCTTAGAAATGGAAATGAGCATCACCCTCCAGAGTCGGACTCGACTAGACTTAATGTCAAAGGGAAACCTTTACCTTTTAGGCTGAAATATATAGGAAATGATACAACAAACAAATTGAGAGCCTAACAGAGTAGTTGTTTTAAAATAGCATTATCATTAAGCCTCAATGCATTTACAAACATAATCATGTTTTGCTGCATCACAGAATACAATCTGCCCAAGTGTCTAATATGTAGAAACATTTTGAGAGCACATCGACCCCAAATGAAATGTTTTGTCAAATCTCTTGGTCTTGAATAAATAGCATCACTTTAGGCCAGTTTCTATGGTCTTTTTAGTACTCAACCCTGAAGTTCAGAGAGAATTTAGTATCTTTAGTGGAAGTTTCATTTGTATTGCAATTTCCGTATGTTGTTCCAGAAGCCTTGATTTCCATAACAAAGAGATCCTCCCTGCAGGAAGGATTTTCAAAGACTGCACATGATCTGTGTGCGTCAGCAATGAGAATTTGCAACAAGCTGGACCTGTCAAGACTGCTGTTCCCCATTTCCCACCCTGTTAGCGAGAGGAGGCACGGGCTCCGTCTAATCTCTTTTAAACCTTAAACCAGGCAGCCGCCACCAAGGAAAACTCAGACATAGCAGATGAAGACTATTTTCCATTTTCTGGCATCATTTGTAATTGGAATTCTTAATCATTAAAAAGATATATCACTACTGGCATTACACTATGTCTGGTATACTTAGCGGAAGACACAATGAGTGTAGAGAGCAACTTTAAGCATTCCCTAAAGGGAAGAATCTTGGTTCATCCCTGATGCAAGTCCGTCCCATGATTGGCAGCTGAATGTGTGAGTCTGCTTATGGAAAAATATTAAAGTGGACAATGGCCTGACTACCGGACCTATGTTGGTCCCAACCAGATGTGCAAATTACCACTGTTGTGGTCAGAAATTATTAGCCCTCCAAGGTCATTTACCCAGCCCTCGGTCAGGGTCAACCTAAGTCTGAAACGATTTGAAAGCAAACAACAATTCTATCTCATCAGCTGAAAGCAGGTCCACACCCCACTGAAATACTAGTAAGTTTATATTTGTTAAAAGTGTTCTTCATTTTAATTATTGTATTGTTTTAAAGTGTTTTTGCACTACAAATAAGATATGTGCAGTGTGCATAGAAATTTATTCGTGTTTTTTTTCCCAATTATAATACAGCCCTCCAACAGTTTGAGGGACTATGACCTGGCCCTGTTTAAAAAATTTGAGGACCCCTGCTCAAGATCAAATAAAGGGACAGTCGTCTTGGTTTTCCAAGGTTGGTCTTTTAGATTGAGTTTAAGTAATTTGGACCGGCGAAGCCAACCATTTGATGTGCCTAATTACTTCATTGTCAATGGACTCTGCAATAGCAGTGGGGAGTGTGTGGCTTTCCAGATGCCGCTGTGTTGAAACTTCCATCATTCCCTAACATTGCCTGTGCTGGCTAGGATAGCTGGGATTTGCATTCTGACGCCTGGAAATCAAAAGCAATTCTCACCTGTTCTCAAGTCATTATATTGGGGAGAAGATATGTGGCATTGAGGGCCAGGTATTGGGGAGACTCTAGCTAGGGAAAGTTCTAGTTTTTCCTTCGTGCAATCATTCTACAAATGTACTTATAATACTGTAGTCACTGGTACCCCCTTCTGTGTTTGTGATTTGAGTCCTAAGGACTTCAAGCTATTTGAAAGAAAAAGGTTGGGTAAGTCAATTGTTAAAAAGAGGAGAATTAAAATATGTTTTAAAAATGAATTGTATATTGTTCATGTATGTTTCTTGGTTTCCAAGATGAGGTACAATTTTTTGTTGTCGTTGTTGTAGAGTACAAGAAGTACACTTCAGCTTCTCATGCGTGTTGCATATCAAGACACATTTTATAGATTTGATCTGATCATATATTTATGATCTAAGAAATGTAAACTAATTGAAGTTATACTATGCGGTATAATTTTAATCTAGTATACCTTGGTATACTACTAAGAAGGAGCATGAGGAAAGATACGTTCAGGTACTGGAATTAAAACATGAATTTAGATGTGGAATGCAGCTGAATGACCTAGTTTCCACTGCTTTTCCTTCAAGGAATGCCAGACGTACACATATGTTTAAAGTGGTTATAACTTTCATTAAGATATTTATAGAAATTTCAAACAGAATGATAAAAAACCTCAAATGTGCATCTTGAAGCTATCTCTCTTTCACATCAAATGTTTCTTGCTATACATTTTTTTTAAGTTTGAAAGAGGAAAACTTCTGGATTCAGGTCACGCTCTGTATTGTCAATCCTATCTCCAAAACTGAGTGTGAATAATGCAGGCAGGCAAACCCTAAACTACTAGCTCAAACATAAGCCTCCAAATTTTGAACCTGAAAGTACAGATTGCAGCAAACATACTGGCCCACGGTCCTCCTCTTTGAATGGGTTTCTTGATGTAGATCAAGAGTAACAATTTTACAAAAATTCTATAGCGTACCAACTTTTTTCATATTGATTGCTCACACAAGATACAAGTTCAACTCAAAAACAATATGGGCCACCACATATATTATGCTAGCTGTTCACACTCTGCAAAATGTCATTTCTTTGGAAACATTTGATAATTCATATCTAAATTTATATTGGTTTATGGATACTTTGCTTCAGAGCAGCTTTAACTGGTTCTTTGTGGGAATCTCTCCATCCTGCTATTCAAAAGACATCCAAAAATGTTTATATTTTTGAGAGGGAGGAAAACGTTTTAAAAAGGTAAAGGTTTTCCCCTGACATTAAGTCCAATCGTGTCCAACTCTGGGGTTGGTGCTCATCTCCATTTCTACGCCGAAGACCTGGCGTTGTCCGTAGACACCTCTGAGATTATGTGGCCAGCATGGAGTGCTGTTACCTTCCTGCCAGAGCGGTGCCTATTGACCTACTCATACTTGCATGTTTTTGAACTGCTAGGTTGGTAGAAGCTGGGGCTAAAGCAGGAGCTCACCCCGCTGCTTGGATTCAAACCGCCAACCTTCCAGTCAGCAAGTTCAGCAGCTCAGCAGTTTAACCTGCTGCACAACCATTAATAAATACAAAAGGAACAATGACAAAGCAAAACGTTTCCGCTTTACAATCAGTGCAGTTTCAGTACCTACTTACATTCATGAAAAAGGTCTAGAACGCCCATTTATTTAAATATTTCAGTAAATAAAGTCTGCTAGACTTTGAAAAGGGTGCTATATAACCTGTGTTACATATTATTAAAAGGTGTTTTGTTGCTTTAACTATAACTGCATTTGGAAACAAACCTCTCATTTGTGCAATATAACAAAACGAATTGTGGAAGAGGTGCTGTGCTCCTCAGCCCCAAATTTCCAGTCATTTCCACAAGCACTTCCCATTTCCCTATTCTTAATACAGCTCTACTTGTATTTACTAGCCTATTGAATTTTGTGTTTGAATTTCAGCTATTAAAAGGATTTTCTACATTCCTTTCCTTCCTGATAAATAAAATCAGCATTACTTATGATCATCTAGTGCTAGTGCTAGCCATGAAGATCTCTTCACTGTGACTAATGCCAACTTCTCTATGTTCCAAAATCCCCTTATCACTATCAAGGGCCAATTTGGATTTCCAGTTTCTCCATCTCTCCCCTCTCCAATAATTACTTTTCTGATGAAATATTTGTTGAACTGGGTTATAGAAAGAAGTGGCAAAATATCATCAGATCTTAGACATGCACGAAAAAAGGAAGATGTTACATAAGCCCAGCTCTTTTTTTTCTTGCATTGGCCAAACTGGAGATTACCTTGAAGGCTACGACAGACATTGTCGTAGCCTAAAAAGGAGGAGAGTTCCTGTTAATATAGCTCAAGCTTCCAATGTAAAACCAAGTTCATATATTCAGCATGTTCCCTTCATAGAGATGTGGGTTTCTGAAGTCCACATTACAGCTTTTCAATGTAACGGGGAAAATCTTGTTTTTATCAAAATCATACGCCAGCAACTGTACTTCCCCATGGATTAAAAGTATGACAGATAAATACTTGTGCCAATGATGGATCTATCAAGCCCACTCATTTATTCAGCTTCCTATATACACTCCAGTTTAAAATACATCATCTTCTTATTGTTCAGTGCTGTCCTGCTGCTACGTGTTAAGAGGAATATGGAACTCAGGGTTATCAAAAATTAAAGGCCTTCTTGGGGGATTTGTGTCCTTGTGAGCTTTATGCAGCAGCTTGAAAAGTCCAGTTCCAATGTTCATGGGAATACCCATAATGATGCACTCGGAAACACCTACAGAAGATTGAGAAAAGATCGTATTAAAGCTCCACGTTTCCCACATAACATATCACTTGTATATTACACCCCTAAATATGTTTTAGAGATCATGCCACTTGAATAACATTGCACTGCAACTTTAGCAACTGATATGTTTCCAATCCAAGTCCATTATGTCAGGATTGTGGGGAAAATGCAAGTTTCTTATGCTGAGTTCCTGATTCCTTTTCATGCTCTATTTGGTAGCCCTTCTTTCTAGCTGTAAGTTAGGAACCTCTCCAGCAGGAGGGGCTGTTTTATATTCCATGGACTGCACTGGAAATGTTTTTAACCACTCAACCTTCATGGGCAATGTTTATTTATTTATTTTATTTTATTTCAAATATTTGTACACTGTCCTTCTCAACCCCCGAGAGGGGACTCAGGGCAGCTTGCAACGGCAACAATTAGATGCTAACATATACAAAAACACAATACAACATGACATAACAGAGTAGGTAAAAACATTAGGTTAAAATCCAATGTGGGGTTGCCTTTGAAGACTGTTTGGAAGCTTCAAGTAGTCCAATGGGCAGCAGTCAGGTTTCTAACTGGAGTGACACACAAGAAGCATACAACCCCCCTGCTGAGCCAGCTCCACTGGCTGCCGGTTTGCTACCAAGCACAATTCAAAGTGCTTGCTTTAGCCTATAAATCCCTAAATGGTTCCGGTCTAGCTTACCTATTCGAACATATCTCCCTTAATGAGCCAGGTAGAGCATTAAGGTCGGCTGAGGAGGTCCTGCTCTCGGTCCCGCCAGCTTGGCAGGTGCAGCTGGTAAGGACGAGAGATAGGGCCTTCTCGATGGCGGCCCCTCAGCCGTGGAACTCCCTCCATAGCAATATCAGATCAGCCCCTTCCCTCTTGACGTTTAGGGAACTTCTGAAAACGTGGCTATTCAAGCAAGCATTTGGGGAGTGAGATAAAGCAGTCAAGATAACTTTGGGATTGGCGTAATGTCAAATGTTCTATTATCAATGTCTATAGTTCACTGTTTTTAATTCATTGTTATATGCTATTTTAGTGTTGTGATGTATTTTATATTTTGTGAGACATTGAATTTTGCCAATTATTTGTCGTGAACTGCTTTGAGTCCCCCTAGGGGTTGAGAAAAGTGGTATATAAATGAAATAAATAAATAATAACAAATAATCTCTCTTAAGAGCAGTATCCTAAGATAGAGATAGAGGAGCTGGTGCTGTTAATGCCATACCACATATCCATACAATTTTTGAAATAAAAAAAATCCACTCAGTGTTGTATATACACTAGTACAGCACAGGCAAATTTAGTATCTAGGTTTTGAAATAAACCTTCTTACATGGATTTTGAAAAGTCAGGAGACAGAATACTATACTTCAAGATCATTTTTGGTGCCAAAGCACACACACACAAAGGGAAAGAGCTGATTGATTTCCAGGAACCCCACCTCATCCTGATGTTTCACTGGTTTCATATTAGTTGCATATATCTTGAATTAATTTATAAGAGCTGTACGTAGTGGCATGATCTGGCTTTATGTGGGAAACTTACCACACACTGAATCCTTTTGCCCAAAGTATGCAGCGTCAAAGAGGTGGTCTGCTGTCTTTTCAAAAGAAGCAAGCATTAAGACGCTCTCCTTCATTTTGGCCAGGCCAAACCGAGTAATCCCCAAAACTTCTCCCTGGTCCGAAAAAAGAACACGACAGGGGGAAGAAATTACCAATTGCTGACAGTGGGCAGGTGCCATCTCAGCCCAAGGAACCAGGCCATGTATATGGTCTATTCAAAATAGCATCTAGGATTGAGAGAGCAGCATCATTAAAACTTTGTTATTAAACTAACCGATATACCCGAAGTTGCATGGGTGTCGAAGGGGATACTTGCTTGCCTGCTTTCTTCCTTCTCCAGCTCTTAGGGGGCCTACTTAACAATGTTTCTATGGCAATGCTCTGGCCATGGTGACTCTCATTCCTTTCTCCACTCCCCTCATACACCTCCTGCTCCCTTTCCTTCCTTTCTTTCCTTCTCCCTTCCTTTCTCTCATGCCTCTTCCCTCCTTCCTTCCTTTTCTTTTCCTTCCTTCATTCCTTCCTCTCTCCCTCCCTCCTTTTTTTTCATTCGTCCTTCCCTCTCTTCCTCTTTTCTTCTCCCCCCCCCCCTTGCTTAATACTTTTTCCTCTTTCCTTTCCCTTCCTTCTTCTTTATCCCTTCCCTCCTCGTCCCGTCATATACAGGTCTTCTAATAACAGCCAATTTGCTTCACTCTCTTTAGAATCGCAGAGTTGAAAGCGACCACACAGGCCATCCAGTTCAACCCCCTGCCATGCAGAAATAACACAATCAAATCACTCTTAACAGATGGCTATCCAGCCTCTGTTTAAAAACCTTTATTACCCAGTCATATGTCTGGGCTGCTTCACCTAACGACAGCCAATCCGATTTCTTTCTTTCCTTTCCCCCTGCTCTGGTGGTATAAAGGAACATGTGGTCAGGTGATCTCCCTGAACCTAATATGACCATTGCAGATTTAAAGAAACTTCCAGAAGCTTTGAATGTGTCATGGACATGTCTGCACAAGTATCATCTTCTGGACATAAGCTGGGGAATGAGGAGCTGGGCTAACTAATTCATGCTTGAAAGAAAAATATTGATACAGTTACTGAACTTTTTATTTATTCAATTCATTTCTATCGTGCCTTTCTCCCAATATAGGGCCTCAAGGCAGCTTCCCAGAAAAACAAGGGAATAAAAGATTATCACAGCAACCCTTATACATTGATAAAACATTGGCTACGATATTATTAGGTTCTTGTAGGTTTTTTCGGACTATAGGGCCATGTTCTAGAGGCATTTCTCCTGCATCTATGGCAAGCATCCTCACTACCTCTGAGGATGCTTGCCATAGATGCAGGCGAAACGTCAGGAGAAATGCCTCTAGAACATGGCCCTATAGCCCGAAAAAACCTACAAGAACCTAGTGATTCCAGCCATGAAAGCCTTCGACAATACGATATTATTTCTTGACATTTATTGGCAAGGGAAGGGAGAATATGCAGTTACGGGAAATTATGCAATTATGATTTTAAAACAACCAAAAACAAACCTTGTATGTCATTAAATCAGACAGCAACATCACATGTCTCCGGTCAATGCTCATACCATGGTTTACCATAGTGTACTGGATCTCATTGATAATGGTGGTTCGAGAGGCCTCAATACCCAGAGTTTTCTCAACCTAGAAGAGTATATTATGCTGGATTAATAAAGTGGCCGTGTTTGTTTTGCTTCCACAAGAAGGTATAATTTCTCCAAGTAGATTTGTTTTCCCTCCTTCTCTCCCTTCATCGAATCTTGAACTTGCACCTCATGATTTCCTGGAATATACTGTATAGACTTGAGTATAATCCAACCCGAACATCAGCCGAGGCACCTAATTTTACCACAAAAAACTGGGAAAACTTATTGGAGTATAAGCGGAGGGTGGGAAATGCAGCAGCTACTTGTAAATTTCAAAAATAAAAATAAAAATAGGTACAAATAAAATTACATTAATTGAGGAATCAGTAGGTTAAATGTTTTTGAATATTTAAGTAATACTGTAATTTGAGATAAGACTGTCCAACTATGATTAAACCATTATTCTAACCTTCTTCAATGTAAATGTGCTTACATATCCTTCCAATAATAATAAAGAGAGTAAAATAATAAATGTAATAATAATAATAGAGTAACATAATGGAAATGTAATAATAACAGTAATAATAGAATCAAATAATAAATGTAATAACAATAATAGAGTAAAATAATAAATGCGATAATTATAAAAATAAAAACAGAATAAAAAATAAATAACCTTGACTCAATTTTTTTGCACTCAGTGTTGAAATCCAGAGGGCTCCACTATTTTTTCTTCTTGTAATGCTTAGAACTATCCAACGAAGTATTAACTCCATATTGCAGGTGGTGGTGCAGGTGAACTGAACGGGAGGCCAATGCTCTGCTTTAGTTCACTTAGTGAGTTCAATGCAGAGGCAAGATTTGAATCAAGGAGTTCAACAGACCCACATCCATCTCTTAAACTTTCTGCAATAACATAATTACCTCATAAGTGTTGTTAGAAGTAGTACTTGTTCCTTTGACTCCATGGGTGGCCATGACAGCTCGCAGATTGTCCCCTTCTACCAGCAATTTATACTTCTCCTTCCCACTCTGCTCATCAATATGAATGACTGCACGCGCCACTTCTGGGATACCTTGTACAACCACCTTTATGTATGAAAAGAAATAAAAGGAGGGTGAAAATAGTGGAAACTATGATAAACGTTGAGTGAGGTACAACAGAATGATTACTAGCAGGAAAGTCATATATACAGAACCCTTCCTTATTTTTTTCTGATAGAAACTTTTTAAAACTCACGGATGCCAATTACTATTCATTCAAAAGATCAATGTGAAGCAGAGTAGGTACAATACGCAAAAATAAGAAGTCAATGCAGGTACAGACCTATAAGGTATAAACGTCATTCCAGAAAGCATTTTGGCTACAGCTGCAAAGGACCTGGTTTCTCAAGGGATGCTGGATCTTGGTTATGACAAGATAGCATCTTCCCTCATGAACCTGCTAGGACTTTAAGATCGTCTGGAGAGGCCGTGCTCTCAATCCCGCCTGCCTCACAAACACGTTTGGTGGGGACGAGAGACAAGGCCTTCTCAGTGGTGGCCCCTCAGCTATGGAACACCCTTCCTGGGGATATTAGATTGGCCCCCTCCCTCAACATTTTAGAAGAGAGTCAAGACTTGGTTGTTTGAGCAAGCATTTGAAAATGCAAGGAAAAGACATAGGAATTGGAACGACTGGACAACAAGATGGGATAATGTTTCTATTAAGAGACGCAAATGATGTATGCTTTTAGTATTCTTGTTATGGTTTTATATTAATGTTTTTAAATGTTTTATGGTGTTTCTGGGCATCAAATCGTTGCCATTGTAAACCATCCTGAGTCGCCTAAGGGCTGAGAAGGGTGGTATACAAATATAGTAAATAAATAAATAGCTTCTGTAGGTTTGTACTTAAATTGAATTTGTATGTAAGACGGAACAGGTACATTTTTAAATGTAATTCCAGACAGATTTTTTTGTAGTTTTGGATACCACAGGGAAGTCAACACCTGCAGTCTGTGCCCCTGTTCAGAAGATCGCACCTTACTTTTTGTCCCTGTGATAACTGAAGTTTGACAAATTTTGGGTTTCCTTGGAAACAAGGATTGGTGATAAAGCTTCAGTGGAGACACCTTCCCATGACAACTCTTATAGGAGTGAATTTCCCTCCCTAAGGGTAGATTTCCTCTCACTTCCTGTTTTCTCACCCCTGTTTGTAACTAGGAGTTGAAGGTCTGTAACACAGGGACTGCCTGCATTCTTTGTGCAAAGATGACAAAAGCAGCAGCAAGAGCATGGGTAGTGCAGGCTTCAAAGGCTTTCAGACATGCCATGTGTCCTTCTCTTTGAAACAGCCTATCAAATTTATATTTCAACATAGTGCATGTCAGATTTATTCTTTGTCATTCCTTTCTTTTTTGTCAATCCACTGGATTTTCACAAAGATCAGGCTATAGTAAATCCTCTTCTAGGTTTGCCCCCCTTCCTTTTTCCTTTCCTTGCCTTCCCCCTCCTCAGTGTGTCAAACTCAAATATCTTCACTCCTATATCCTCATCTGAATTTCCTTCAGAAATGCAGTTTTTCACACTAACAAAAGAAATAATTGAAAGCTGCCACACAGTTTTTGTCAGGCCAAACATACAGAAGGCAGAGGATCCTTATTACCTTTGGTAGCTCTTCCTTCAGGGACTGCAAGACATAGTACATGGAGCTCTTGCTGTTTTCTCGAGGAGTCACACACACAACTGCTTCGCCATGGACAGCCACGTCCCCAGGCTTCACCCTCAGCTTTGAGACGCAAATAGAATACCGCACAGTCTCCGCATTAACCTGTGGCAGAACACATCATTTCAGTTTTTGCATAATTCTTTTGACACTATGTCCAGTTCCCCAGGCATGCGGTTTCCGTTCTACAAGATATCCAACATTCTAATTTAGCAAATTGCTGCAATGGATTACTTGATGACCATTACAAAGTTCCTCTACTCTACTGGCAAGGGGGAGGGATGCTCCCTACTGTCCAGCAGCCCAGATATATTCAAGGATGAAACAATGACAGTGTGAGGAGGGGGCTCTGGATTTTACAAGGCACAGTAATTATTGTTGCATTTCCCATTGTCATAGAGTCATAAAGTTGGAAGAGACCTCGTAGGCCATCTAGTCCAACCCCCTGCCAAGAAGCAGGAAAATCACATTCAAAGCACCTGAAAAATGGCCATCCAGCCTCTGCTTAAAAGCCTCCTAAGAAGGAGCCTCCACCATACTCTGCGGCAGAGAGTTCCACTGCTGAACAGCTCTCACAGTCAGGAAGTTCTTCCTAATATTCAGGTGGAATCTCCTTTCTTGTAGTTTGAAGCCATTGTTTGACGCCCTAGTCTCCAGGGCAGCAGAAAACAAGCTTTCTCCCTCCTCCCTATGAGTTCCCCTCACATATTTATACATGGCCATTATGTCTTCTCTAATCCTTCTGCACACTGACTTTCTTCATATTATTAATATAATACTGCTAGAATTGTCACATGTACTGCTTTTTGACTGCCCCCTCCCCATAAAAATAAGTATGGGTAGTCAAGGAGCTACAGGCCATGTTGGCATTTCATTCTGCTCCATATGGTAATTAAGTCTCTTAAAGAAAGGTATCAGAAGATGCTAAAAATTGTAAACGCTTGCATGGTACACTTATGTAGGATAAGAGACTGGTTGAAATACTTCTTCTTCTATTATGTTTACATGTTTATATTTAGCCAGATTGGCCAAGGTTGCCTGAGGGTTATTAGGAGAACTAAAAGCAAGACACTAGTATACTGAACCAAACTTTATGCAATATGGGTGAATAAATAAATTCATATAAAATATGCCACATACATACAGACAAATCTTAGTCTAAAATGGTACAAAACAAAAACCACACTGCCTTATGCTATATGATACAGGCAGTTCCCAGGTTATATGCAAGATAAGTTCTATATGTTTATTCTTACTTTCAATTTGTATGTAAGTTGGAATGGGTACATTTTTCAAATGCAACTCAAACCGCTTTTTTAGTTTTAGACAGCATAGAGAAGGGTTAATTCGTCCTTAACGTTTGTTTTGCTGTCATTGTCTTCATGACAACTCAACCTTTTCAAAATCCAATTGTCACAAGGACAGAAAGTGAGGTGAAATCTTCTGAACAGGGACACAGACAGCTCCCTCACCCCCAAACATGGCCTGCGGGGCAAAAAGAAGCTTATTGGCTGCCCCTTGAGGAGCTAAGACTCTCTTTGCTTGGGGCTACAAGGCGAAGGAGAACTGCCACTTCCCATGGACTGTCCAGAAATTCACTTTCCTTTCCTCCCCAGCCAAGGTTCTGGCAAAGGGTGAGGGAAGCTGACAACAGGCTCCACTGCTTTTTGCTTCCAGCTACAGCTGCGAAGGAAGGAAGACAGAAAGTGGCCACAAGCCCCCTTGCTCTTCCTCCCCATCCATGGCTGGTGGCAAGGCATGAAGGAGCCGGTTGTCAGCCTTCCTTGCCCTTTGAGAATTTCCTAGCCCTATATACATTCTAGCCTTGGGTGAGAAGGAAAGGTAAGGGAGCACTGTCACTCATCGGGGCTGCCCGCCCTCCATTCAAATCTACGAGTTGCTCATAAGTCAAATATTTGTGACTTGGAGACTGCCTGTATGTAAAAATAGCTCCTTGATTATGATTCAATACAAATCCTCTCCCCACAGTAAAATCTAACTCCATTCTGCCTATCTCTCTCTCAACTGTTTAGATCAGAAAAGTACAGAGGAAAGGTAAGCCACAACAGAACATAATGTAAAAAAATCAATAAAAACTCAGAAAAATTGAATTCAGAAACCAAGACAGTTTATCACACAGAACCCACATGGAACAAAACTCAGAAAATTTATCCAAATACAAGATCTTTCCAGCTATAAAAATATGCACACTCACTTCCAGCCTCAGCAATCTAATTCGTTCTAAAGAAAGCTTGACCAGAATGAAGCAGTCATCAGGAAGAAAAACTTCTTCAATATATTCTGAAATCTGTGAGTAAAAGAGAGAGAGAGAAAGAGAGAGAAAACATTAAACAACAAAACAGAAGAGATTGAACATATTGTATGTTAAGCAATAAGAAGGCACGGCTTACCTCTCCTAGTAATGTCTTCTCTATCCTTCCTTTAACCAACCGGGCAAAATCTGGATCGTGATCTATGTCAAGGTGTGCTGTGATAATTGGTGTACTGTACATAAGCAACAACAAAGATATCTATTACGGTCCATAGACCCATCAGTAAAACCAATAGTCATTATAAACTCTCCCATCTCAGGTGAAGTTCATTGTACACGATACATTTACATGGTTTAAAGTAATACCCCTATTGTAGGTTAGTTGCTTTCTCAGCTTTGTTGCCACTGCGAAGAATTTTGCCACTGTGAGAGTCACCCTGTGGCACTTCTCCTCTAAATGATTTCTAACAATCCTCTGTGGGGATGGCTGGGACAGGACTGGATATAAAAGTTGGCTACGTCGCACTGTGTAATAGCGGCACTGCAATAAAAGGTGTTCTATTGTTTCTATTTCATTTCCTCCACAGGGGCATAGTCTTTGGGAGTAAGGAATTTCAGACAGCCTGCCTCTTAGTAGCTCTGAGGGAAATACATTTAATCTCACCTTTGTAAAGAGTCTGAAATATTTAGTTACTATAAGGCTTTTTAGGTATTTCCATGTCTTAAATGGTTCCTTGTATGGTAAGTTTAGGACTCTGGGGGAGAATGGTGAATTTGAATGGGCTCTAAACTTTCCCAGGCCCCATCCCGCAACCTTTGCTTCAAGGATTCTTGCATCATTTTGAATCCTAAAAGGAGCAGAAGGGATGCAGATAGTCCAATTGAGGCCGCTTTTTGTTCAATCTTCCATGCCCAAAGGGGTTTGGAGGCTTCATAATGGAGGTGATGTAGTAAACCTGTTCCCAAATTGAATATTATTATCCTTAACCATAGGGATTCATTTTCAGAGTACAGGTCCTAGTACTCAATGGGCATTTATCCATTTCTAGAATCAGGACCACATTTGGTACACAAGAAGGCACATTCTTCTAAACCTTACTTGCACTCTATCTAGGTTAATAATCAAGCTTTAATACCATATGGCTGCATCAAAGAGGAGTTTAGAAGCTGTTTTGGCATTAAAGATTTTTTGTGTGGAGGGGACGTATTGTCCTCCTTTGGTATAATACAGTGGTTCTCAACCTGTGGGTCTCCAGGTGTTTTGGCCTTCAACTCCCAGAAATTCTAATTGCTGGTAAACTGGCTGGGATTTCTGGGAGTTGTAGGCCAAAACACCTGGGGACCCCCAGGTTGAGAACCATTGGTGTAATAGAATCTTATTAAAACTGCTTGACAGGTCTTTGCCTTTTGAATAACTATTTCAGAGTGCTGTCTCCAGGATAAGGTGTGGTGGAAGGTAAGGCCCAAATACTGGGAGTTTGTAACTGGCTGTAGAGAAAATTTTGCTGTACATGAATGAAAAAACCTTACTGGCTTATTATTAATTGTACAATTATATGGTTATTCATTTTCTAATGAGACTATTAGTAAAATCCAAAACCAAACAATTAATATTTCTAATCAACAGTCCTAAAATACCTAACCCAGGCAACATCAGGTACATAAGTTAGTTGAACAACAAAGCTGGTAAGAAAATCTAGCTACATTACCTGATTGCTTTGGAAGCATTGATGATTTCTTTGATCCTTGGTACCCCCAGAGTAATGTTCATTGAAGCAACACCAGCAAAATGGAATGTTTTCAGTGTCATTTGTGTACCAGGCTCACCAATACTCTGGGCACACAGAGCACCCACTGCTGAGCCAGGCTCCATCTGTGCCCTAGGATGTAAAATCAAGGAAACTGTGGTATTTATTTATTTCACATCTACCATAAGTTGACTTGGAAAGATCATGGCTCAATGATAATAGCTCTCTAACAATCAAGACATGCATACACATTCCTCCTTGCTAAAAAAAAAAAACCCCAAATGGTTCAAAATTGGCATTATCAAGTCATTATTAGTCTGATGCTATTAACAAACCTTGTTCGTCAGAAAGAAGTCAAAATTATGCATTATTGGAATGTCTGTACAAATTAATTTTCTTTAGCTGGATATGAATAGATTTTCAACTCTTTCATAATCTCACCTATATTTTAAACTACTTTGAATAATGTCATTTCTAACTCTGAAGGAGCTGGGGGTGGTGATGGCCAACAGGGAGCTCTTGCGTGGGCTGGTCCATGAGGTCACGAAGAGTCGGAAACAACTGAATGAATGAACAACATACTGAATGGTTCTTCTCATCCACACTACTGCTTCTTTTCTATTAAAATAGCGTATCAGTGCTTCCGATAAACTTCTCTATTCTGAAATGCTTTCAAAGGCTGCCAAGACTTGGTGAAAATTTTCCTCCAATAATAAAAATAAGTCAACTATTTGACAGAAAGTGGCAACAATACAGAGAAAGGAAAAGCTATAAGCCTCATCACACAGAAAGATAAAGGTGCCTTTTTATTATATTTACTTGGGTTAATTTCATTGGTGAGTTTCAGTCGATCCTCCTGTCAAAAGCACTAGCCCAGCCCCACAATATAAATACCAAAATGAACAAAATACTCATCAACCCTGTTTCTTCTTGTATAGAGGTTAAGTGAGCTTAGCTAAGGAGGTCAGCAACAAACATTTCTTTTTTAAAAAAGCATTAACCACCAGCACAAAACAGGGCAAAGCAAGGGCTGTAAGATGCACAGAGTCATAGTGACAATATGTTTACCAAAAGACCTTATGCAACTATGAAAGCACTGGATCAGAGGACAGCTGTCACCCTCACTTAAATCCCAGTGAAACCATCCTACAGCATAGTATGGACCTTGTAAAAGCAAATCAACTCACACAGCAGCAACAGCCTCAAGACTCGTACCCTGCTCTTTCAGTGTTTTTTCAAAAAAGGTCTTGCATTCCAAAAACAATGTCAGACTAAGGAAAGTGCTGTTGAGAAATAAAAGTGTCTTCCTTTCAGACTACGCTTAATGGACCAGCGAGGGAGGTCAACCTAAATAACCATCCCACAAGAGCACTGGGGAATTAAACTGGCTTTTGCAAAAGTACTGGAATGCAGATTTTACATACAATTTAAAATCACATCAATCCAGTGTTCCAAAGTACTATTACTACTCATCCTTGTAGAGCAGTGGTTCTCAACCTTTTTTTGACCAGGGACCATTTTGACCAGAGATCACTCTCCAACATTAATATCAAAAGGGTTACAAATTGGTTTTTGGTCAATTTTAGATTCAGTTTGGTTATTTGGGGGTGCTGATTCAGAAAGTTGCATTGGATAGACCACATCAGCTCTAGTTTCTGATACAGAACATACACTATCCAGTAGTTGCCATCTGCTCACCCACAGAAAACCATATTTAATAAGCCTAGGTACTATAAGAGCGTTTTGTGAGACCAGTCACTCTTGTTGAAACAGTATAGTAAGGGTGAAGCCGTGGACCATATTTTAGTTCTTGCGGACCACTGGTGGTCCATGGATCACAGGTGGGGAACCACTGCTGTAGGGGATGCTAATGCTGAGAATTAACAATAATAATTTTTTTACAAGAAGGCATCATTTCTAAGAGGAAACAAGGTTTTTTTTTTACTTATGATTTCACTGAGTAACAGATATGGTACAATCATTTCTGAACTATTTCATGGCCTTGAAGCATGGATAGTCGTTATTTGTGCAGTTTGAGCTTTCATTTCATTTTCTCAGGGTGCTCAAACTGGGGAAAGTAGTCTGCCCTCAAAACATGGACCATGCACAATTTAGTTTCAGGAAGAAGTCTGAATCATATGGTGCAAAACATGCCACTTTCCACTTCTGACACATCTATATATTTTTTGTAAGCCTTTCATGATGCAACTTCTTTTTTCTATCTTTATGCTATAATGATCTAAATGATGGTACATGAACTTTACAAAGTGGACAGTATCCTGAAAACCATTTTAAAAAAGAAATGAAAATAACAGTTCATTAAAACAGTTCATTAATTTGAAATTTAAAAAATGTGTGTGATAGTGTTTAATTATAAAAAGCTAATAATTATTAGCTTTTATAATTAAATGCTCTCATGCATATTTTTTTAAAAAAAATTCAAATTCTTTCCTTTCCTTTTTGTCCATTCACTGATCTAAGTTCTTCCAGGTTTATCATTAAAGCCATACATGGTTTGGGTCCTGCCTCTCCTGATGGCTCGAGGCGGGGTACAACAAAGTCAAAACATGAACATAAAATACAAACAATAACACTGATAAAATACACCAAAATAAAATACATACACCAAACACAGATACACATTTAATATATAGTAGAAATAGAATTTACAGGCAGTCCTTTAATCACAAACATCCAACTTACAAACAACTCATAGTTAAGAACAGAAATGATACAACAGAAAGTGAGTAAAATTCACTCCTATTTCACTTTGTATCATGTGTTTTAATACATGTATATTATTGTATGTATTTTAAGTTGATGTGTTTTGACTGTGCTGTAACCTGCCTCAAGCCATGAGGAAAGTCAGGTAACAAATAAAATTGATTATTATTTTTGCTATTGTTACTACTACTACTACTACTACTACTACTACTACTACAATGCAGTAGAACCGTTGGTTATAAAAAGCCAAAGCCGTCAACTTCATGTTACTCTAATACACTGAAAAATATTACATACAAATCATTTCCTTAGAAGTTACATTCTCTTAAATGTGTCATTCAAGAGTTTATTATCACACTGAGATTCAGAATGATTATTAACAGGAAATCTTAGCCGGTTAAATTTAATCACAGATTATAGCAGCCAAAATGTTTCTTACCACAGGGATAAAATAGGTATCAATATTTGCAAGCTTTCAAATTTTTAGGAAACAAGTGGTAAATGAATAATAAAGAAAATGAATACACCAGAAAGCAAACAAAAATACAATGCTATTGTTTTGAGTGTGATAAAAATACATATCCATGTCAACTTTTCTTTTTACCTGAACTGTCACAATACTGTAACACATATTTTGGGTAAGTATAGGATAAAGCAAATTTCAACTTGAGGTGTTTATCTTACCTCAGAAAAACAACCTCTTACCAAGATATATTCAGAGTGGGTTATCAGAATAAATCAAAAACTTCATACCTCATATATTTCTCTCTACAGGTTTCCAGAAACTTCTCCAGCTGAGTGGGAGTAATCCGGTCCAACTGGTATAAGACATAGGGCTAGTGGAATTTTAAAAACACTATTAGGACTTTTTCCAATGATTAGCTGATTTTGTATTCACTATGTACTCTTCTAAACAGCACTGATAATGAGTCAGACTGGGAATTTAGCTACATTCTGTATTTCTAGGTACCATGAACACAACTGCATCAAACTACAGTCAGGTTCAGACGCTGTGATTTCTCACTATATGTACAATGTCTTTTAAAAAAATAATTCTACTAGAAAGCTTTCACTTTTAGTTCCTTTTTCTACATCTCCAATATTTGAATGATGAAGGACTTCGTTTTAATGCACATTATAGTTAGGGCATAAAAAGAAAAAGAAAAGAATGGAGAGAATGGCTAAAACCTCTGGCTTTTAAAAGAAGGTTTTTAAGATCAATTCAGGAGGTGCTGTGGTTTTTAACTTCGAATATGTTTGAATGGTATTTAACTGGGAATGTTTTAATACTGTTTATATTTAATTCTGTTTTAATATTGGCATATTCTGGCCCAGATTACCTGTCCGAATGTATCTCCTCCTATGAACCATCTAGGAGCTTAAGATCATCTGAGGAAGCCCTGCTCTCGATCCTGCCTGCCTTGCAAGTGCGATTGGCAGAGACGAAGGACAGGGCCTTCTCAGTGGTGGCCCCCCGGTATGGAACTCCCCCCCCAGGGATATTAGATCGAGCCCCTCCCTCCTGACTTTCTGAAAAAACGTAAAGACCTGGCTCTTTGAGCAAGCTTTTGAGAATGCAGCAGAATAGATAACACAGAACTATAAATGATGAACATGGAATGGCCAGACAATGTTACTGGATAACGTTACTGGATAACGTTTGTAACAAGATGACACAGATGATTATATGCTTTAGCAATTTTTATTTATGTCTTATATTGTAATGTTGATTGTTTTTAATGGCACTTTTATGAATGCCAATCTGTAACCCACCTTGAGTTGCCGTATGGCTGAGAAAGGCGGACTAGAATTATCGTAAATAAATAAATATTGGTATATTTTAAATTATATGCTAATGTTTTTATGTTAGGATGCTTTGAGTCTCCTTTGGGAGAAATAAGCAGGATATAAATAAATATACTACTACTACTACTACTACTACTACTAATAATAATAATAATAATAATAAAGGCAGCTGTGCTCACTTCTCCTGTATTCAAGTAGCGAATTGCTGAATGTGTCAAGCTGCCACTGTTCCACATTAAGTACAATATTTCATGGTTAGTCAAATCAGATCTACTGATATCTTAAAACATTCAGCTCAACATTTTTCACATTTCAAAAAAGGAAACATCCACATCATGTTCAATTTCAAAACCAATCTGCTCCAAAATTAAGTGTTGGATGGTTTGTTGCAGACTGGATAAATGTAATGTGCAGCAGGAGAAGAAAACCATTTGAGCTTCATGAAATGGAAGGCACTCGAAATGAATGTCAGCATGAGAGACACTATCACAGGTAAAATAAAAGGAAGTCCCTATTTTCAATACAGTGTATTGAATTGAGTGTTAGAATATAATTTTAGAGACCAGGGTTTGTGTCCCCACTCACCCATGAAAACCCATAGGATGGCCTTAGTTAAGTCACATTCTCTTGGCCTCAGATGAAGGCAAAGGCAACTCCCCCATGAACAAATCCTAATCCCTGTGATAGGTTTGTCTTAGGATCACCATAAATTGGAAACAACTGGAAGCAACAACAACAACAACAGTCCTATTTTCATTTCTTGCAAGATAAGCAACGACTGCAGAACTTCTGTCATAGCTTACCTCTGTTGTGCCGTTGTCATTAATGCCATATTTATCCCTGGTTTTCTTGATCTTTTCAGACATATTTTTGATGAATTTTTTAATTTCCTGAAACAAATAACATATATTTTAAGGTTTTGTTTTTAAATTTACACAAGCTATATTATTTTATACATATATTATGTTCAAACTTTTAACCTGTTTAACCTGTTTGGATGAGTTTGTGTTTTTTAAGGACAGGTGGGGGGGGAATTGTAGCATGGATTAAGGAGTACATTTTATACTAGAAACACTTGGGAAGTGGTTTGAGGGGGAAGTGGATGCACTCAAGCAACATATTCAGGGTTTTAAAACAATAAGTTAGTATTTTCTAAACCTATGAAAAATAACATCTGTAATCTTACAATCCAAAATGCATTTATTAGAAAGTAAGCTCCAACTAAACATAGTAGGATTTTGAAGTAACCATGCAAAAACCACATTGCATTTTTTTTTGTAAATTGAAATGTCCCAACATTATGAAAAGTAATAATATTTCAAGCAGGGGCTGAGGGGGAGAAAAGACTCAAGCAGTTAGGTGTTAGATTTAGGCTGAAGAAAAACATTTCATTATTGATTATAAGTTAATTTTCACACAACACATTGCTAGCATGGGAAAACATTATTCTCTCTGTTGCAGGGGGTGGGGTGTAAACATAAAATTCAAAGCTGAACATTTACAGACTTATATTGGTGTCATAGTTATCTTAGGTCCATGACTATGTTTTCCAGAATTATACTTAATTTTTGCTTGATAGTTAAGCAGCCCCCCTCCTCCCATGGCACAGCAGGTTAAACTACTGAGCTGCTGACCTTGCTGACCGAAAGGTCAGCGGTTTGAATCCACGGAATGGGGTGAGCTCCTGCTGTTAGCCCAGCTTTTGCCAACCTAGCAGTTTGAAAGCATGCAAATGCAAGATCAATAGGTACCAGTTTGGCGGGAAGTAACGGTGCTCTGGGCAGTCATGCTGGCCACATAACCTTGGAGGTGTCTATGGAAAATGCCGACTCTTCGGCTTAGAAATGGAGATGAGCACCATCCCCCAGGGTAGGACACGACTAGACATCATGTTAAGGGGAAACCTCTACCTTTACCTTCAGTTAAGCAGTACAGACACCTGACTACTGCACAAATTACATTTTGCCAGAGTGGGATGCCCTTTGGGCTTAAGGCTGCCTTTTCAGCTTACTAAGCAGAAGCTTATTTCGCACAAAGGCTTTCATCTCCCTATCTTGCAGGTAGGAAGGAAAAGAGAAACAACAAACAATGGTTTGTACAATCTTGGTTTGTACAATCTTGTGATGACAGATTTACTGCCATGGAATAAATGATTTTATTTTTGAAGTAGTTTGCAAAGCCAAGAATGCTTGGGTTTCTGAACAATCCTGTGGGTTGTCTGTGGGTCCATTTTAAGCCAAAAGGAGAATCAGGTAATAAATTAATAATTATTACCATTATTACCATTATTATTATTATTATTATTATTATTATTATTATTATTATTATTACTATTATTACAAGAGGAATGTGAAAACATTTCTGTGTTTCATCGTAAGAGATATCTGTGGATAGACTTCCTAGGCCTGCCAAGGTCATCATATCCACAGGAGATGATGGCTAGATTATTTTTCAGGACCTAAAATTCTGTGTCACAGATATTTATTAAACTTTTTGAAGAATAAAATGATTCAAATATTTCTGGAAAAAACATGGAGACATCTTTGATTACTCTCATGTCCACCAGGTATTGGATGGCCATGAGAAGCCTTCAATGGTTTTGCAGATTTCTTGGGGATTCAATGTTAGATAGAATCGGGACATTAAGGTCACAGTTTTTGGAGGACATCCACATTTCTTAATGGTCTTGCATAAGTAGACACGGAGTTGAAGAAATCAAAACCATGAAAGCACTTAAGCTTTCTTTTGGAATCTAGCACCTGGGGTGCTACAAAGAATTTAGAACTAGAAAATGTCATTATGGCAAACCTATCCTGATTTCTCAAGTCCACAGTTTATGTGACAAGGTCACCCAGTTAAAGCACAGCCACTAAAAACCTATAGCAGTGTGGGAGAACAGGAAGCATATTCTCATATTTTTCTTGACTTGAGGAGATTGGTTTGTAGTGTGTAGTGTGTCCACAAAGAACAAAAGAGGAATAACTAAAACAAGCAATGATTATGAAAGGTCGAACTAACAGCCACACAAATAGTCTCAATTGGGCTTGAAAGCCAACACTAGCCTGGGAAACTGAAGATCTTTTCCTCTTTTTGTGAAGTCAGAAGCTGGTTCTGTTTTCTGACCAGAAAAAAATGCCATTTCAGACACTGGGAGAGAATTTGATAATGGCACGGAACAAGTAATCACCACAATATGGAAAAAAGGCGCTCACTGTGCAAACAGAGTGCCCAAATCAACAACTGGGCAAACCATCAATCTAAATGTATATATTGTGTGCACATGCACAAAAACCCACATACATGCTACAATTACCTCATTATATCTTGCATAACCTGTTTCAGTTAATGCCTTTAAAAGCAAACAAAAAAAAAAACACCAATGCAAAACATATTTTGCTATTGAAACACATAAAACTGTTCATATACAAAAATGAATAATATGGCCTGTGTCTTACATTTAGTCCCTGAAGCAAGCCTCTACTACTGCACCCTTACTAGCAACAAGCTAGTTGCATCAGTCCAAAAATCAATGACTGTGGGCTTTAGCAGACTTTGCTGCTCTTTAAAGAAATGATTCATGAACCTTATCACTTTCAAACTGGCTGTCATGTGCAATTCTTCAGAAGCCAATGCCCTGGAAAAAAAAGCCAAGTCCACATATTTAAACCCTAAATCTGTTGAGCCTCTGTGGTGAAAATAAAGCAAAACACTGGAAAATTGGCTTTCTCTGCTGGTAATAAGTTTCTTTTAATTGAGAAGTAATTATTATGAGGAAAAAAAATCTAAGCAAAGACGTCACCTGTAAGAAGCTGTCCTGGCAGCAAAGGAATTCATTCTTCTTCATGATGGACTCAGCTGTTAACATCAATTCATTTTTGCTAAGTGCAGGCTCACTTCGGCTTGGATACACCGCCTTAAGCAACAAAGCAGCACAAAGATAAATTACAAGGATCTTTTACATTCAGTTCCTTCAGAACAGTCAATGTCTTTTCAAAATGGTTATAGCTGATGTTACTTTTACAAACGCTAGAACTAAAGGCAAAAAGCTAATACTGACACAGATCCTTCAAGTCTTACAGTATTTTTGAAACCTCTTTCAGGAAGCAAATGCTAAACTGAATCTTGAATTACCATATATACCTGAGTATAAGTTGAGTGTTTCAGCCCTTTTTTTAGGTTGGAAAAGCCTCAGCTTGAGTCAAAGTTATTTATTATTTTACTCTGTTTATTATTATTACATTTATTATTTTACATCTTATCTTCAGTGTCATCAGTTAGGAGCCCCTCCTCCCAACACCAACTGTGCTCTGGGACCAGAGTAAAGAGAGGGGTCCAGAAAGATATTGTATTTATTTTATTGTATTGTATATTACTTGTAAGCTGCTCTGGGTCCCCTTCGGGATAGGAAGGACGGCATATAAAAGTCATAAATAAATAAATAAATAAATAAATACTCTTTTATTATTATTACATTTATTATTTTACTCTATTATTATTATATTTATTATTGTACTTTAATGTTATTGTTAAATTATTATTTTATTCTATTATTATTACATTCATTATTTTACTCTATTACTATTACATTTATTATTTTACTCTATTATTATTGTTATGATTACATTTACATTAATTTACTCTATTATTATTTTATTCTATTTATTATTTAACTGTTAATATGTATTATTCTACTGGAATTATTATTGCATTTATTACTGTACTCTATTTATCATTGTTATTATTATTATTACATTCATTATTTTACTCTATTATTATTTTTATTACATTTATTATTGGAAGGATACATAAGCACATTTACACTGAAGGTTAGAATAATGATTTAATCAGAGTTGGACAGTCTTATCTTAAACTACAGTTTTATGTAAATATTCAAAAACATTTAACCTACGGATGCCTCAATTAATGTAATTTTATTGATATCTATTTTTATTTTGAAATTTACCAGTAGCTGCTTCATTTCCTACCCTCGACTTATACCCGAGTCAATACATTTCCCCAGATTTTTGTGCTAAAATTAGGTGCCTCGGCTTATATTTGGGTTGGCTTATACTCGAGTATACATGGTATTAAGAATCTCTCCACACATTTAATTCACTGATATGGAAACTATCATTAAACTCCAAGATCAAGATTGTCTTCAAACTTCTTGTATTAATGCTGATGTTTATTTATGGAGACATCCTATATACTTACTCTGATGTTGTCCAGGACACGTTTGAATTCCAGAGGTTCATCTTTTCCTTCCATGGCTGCAGGATCTAAACCATCCCCACCATAAATGAATTGTATAATGTCCCCAGTAGAGCTCCTGACAGTCAAGTCATATTGTGAGCAAAGGTCTTCAAGTGACTTCACCAGTCGTCTCTGAGAGAAGCAGATGCACAAAGTACTCTTAAGGACATATGTATCACAGCTCACAAAAACTTCAAAAACACAGGTGGTGGTGAATCCACATGAGAATAGCAAAATAAAGATTTACTCCCACAAGCAATTCTTCCAATGGGATATATAAGGAAGAGTACCTAGAGAATTGCTTTGTAATATCCCAATGAGAGTCAATGTATGTTTGGAAATGACATCATGCATTTGATCTGAAGTGGAACAAAATTAATGGAACCAGTCCCATTATCCTGTAGCATAGTTTACAAACCATTATTACTTAATAAAATCTTCCCTCAAGTGCTCCCCAATACCCTCTAGAACAGTGGTTCTCACCCTGGGGTTCCCAGATGTTTTTGGCCTTCAACTCCCAGAAATCCTAACAGCTGGTAAACTGGCTGGGATTTCTGGGAGTAGTAGGCCAAAAACATCTGGGGACCCCAGGTTGAGAACCACTGCTCTAGAAGGAATAGGGAGGGAATACTTTTCACTTTCTCTTCCCTCTTAAGTGGTTGTGTTGAACTTATATTCCCCATTTCCCCTTATAATGAGTCTCAATGTATTGTTGAAGGCTTTCATGGCCAAAATCACTGGGTTGCTGTGAGTTTTCCAGGCTGTATGGTCATGTTCCAGAAGCACTGGAAATGACATCATGCATTTGATTCAAATGCTTCTGGAACATGGCCATACAGACCAGAAAACTCACAGTAACCAAATGAGACTCAAACTAGCTAAGAATATATATTTAAAAATATAGACTAAAAATCATACAAAATATTCAAAAACTTGATTTTTTTTTCAAATAGGAAATGATCTGGAGATCCAACCTAAGCATTTCCTATTGGAAAAACAGCCTCTCTTAGGATTAAGAAGGCCTAAGGGCAAGAATGTAATGAAATTCCACATTGCGGCATTTTGGGTGCATCTTAACTATAGAATTAATATAGTTTGGGACCACATTTACTGTTATAACTAAAACTATGGACTTGTAGTTTTAGCCTTCTCTGCCAAAGAGTGCTGATGATTCACTTAACTCCAAATCCCAGAATTCCACAGTATTGAGCCATGATAGTTAAAGTATCAAACTGCATTAATTATACAGTGTAGGTGCACTTTTTCAGATATACAAGGAAAACTATTAAAATGGGGAGTATTTGGGGCCACAGAAACAGCCTGGAGACCTCACACTTTCCCCACTCCTATTCTATAAGGGTCTAAAGAGGAACAAGACAGTTCTGGCTGGAAGAGAAATAATCAGGAGCCAGTTATTCACTGAATCTCCTTCTCATGAATATTTCTGGTGTCTTTCTATCCAGAACAACTACATCTAGATCTGTAAATAGTTTCTCATCTGGTTGACGAAACAAGGAGGAATTAATTCCAGTCATCTAGGCAGAACATTTCTGTGAAACTGAAAATTGGAATTTGATTTCGCTCTTTCTAGCCACAAACAAGGCACACATGCCTAACAGATAAATATTTATGTAACAATTCAATAAGTTTGCCTGACTGGTTAATAAATGTGTCATGTGCTAGGCTGTACCTTATATTAAGGATGTATATGTATGGTAAAATATATATCCTAACACTAATACAGGCCCTTTCTTACTTTTTACTCATTGTGGAACTAAAGTGGAACTAAAGGGAGATGGAACAAGATGGGAAAGAACACTATTTATTTTCCAGACTTAGACTAGTCAAGTGAAGGTTTTAATTCAATGGAGTATAATTGATCATGACAGCTGCTACACAAGGAATGTCTATTCCCACAGGCAAATGTCCTCAGTTACCTGCATGTATCCAGTTTCCGCTGTTTTTACAGCTGTATCAACCAAGCCTTCACGACCAGCCATTGTGTGGAAGAAAAACTCAGTGGGTGTCAAGCCAGAATAGAAGCTGTTGGCAACAAACCCTTTAGCGGCTGGAAGCTGCAAGAAAAAAAGAACTTTTGAAATATGTTGTATTCAGGCATGCATTCACAATCAGTGTGGTATAGTGACTGAGGGTCTGACTAGAACTGGGGGAAACGTGGGTTCAACTCTCCATTCAGTCACTAAGTGCCTTTGGGTCAATCCCGGTTTCTCAACTTAACCTATCTCACAGGTTTGTTGCCAGGACAAAATAGGGACTGGGAAAAACATGTAGTTTGGCTTCTTGGAAGCAAGTCAGAACATAAATGTAAGAACACACTCAGTTAGAATACTGGTCGCATATGTGGCTAAATTGGCTGGTATCTTTGCCAGAGTGGTTTTGCTTTGTGAATTCTTCAGAAAATGATATATAAATGTCCAAAATAATTAGGGGCTAGACAAAGTACAGTGTTGTTCTCACACATAGCCACCAGAGCAATCCTGCATCCCGGGCAGCCTTCAGGGTCTTTTGGGCAACCCCCTAGGCTTAGCCCCGTGCCGTTCTCTACTGGCCTCATTCACGAGGCCTTCGAAACCTCCCATGAATGAGGCCAGTTGGGAAACGGAGGGATGTGGCTTCCCAAATGGCCTCATTCATGCTGCCTCCCTCCCTCATATACTATACTGTTGCTGTTGGTGCATTACATTCACATCTACTTTTTTTTTGTAATGTGCACCTTTAAAATTGAGGTGCACATTACATTAAATTGCACATTATACTTGAGTAAATACAGTATGTAGTGTGTGTGTGTGTGTGTATGTATGTTTGTGTGTGTATATATATACACACACACACCACTATCCCTTTTCAAAACCAACTGATGCTCTAGCTACTTCATTTAAAAAAAAATGTTGCCATTTCTGTTGGCGTTGTCCTACAGTAGCTGCCCACCAGTGAGAATAAGAAGCAACATAGTGATGGTCTTTTTGATATACAACAGAATTTTCTATCACTAAGACGCTTTGAGTCAGTTGTCACAGTATAGTCTCAGGATAATGGGACTGGTTCCAACCAATTTTTCCAGAACTCAGGGTCATAAGCCTGGTGGTCCCAGTATATTTACTCCTCTGATCTTTATCCCACCGAAATGAAATCACCCACTCTTAGTAGATTCTAATGGATCCCTGTGTAACAGGTCTCTCTATTTCACAGGGGACAGGGGGAAACCCAATACATAGCTGCATAAAGCAAAGGAGAAACAAACACATCAATTTTATGTCCACCAGTTTGTAGGCATGGAGGACCAAGGAAGAAAAAACAAGAACTGGGACACTGATCATTACAACTGTCATGTACTTAAGGTCCCTAACTTCTTTGCCGTGGTCTGGGACATCTATTTATTTATTTATTTTCAGTATTTATATTCTACTCTTCTCACCCCGAAGAGGCCTCAGGGCGGATTGCAGAACACATATATGGCAAACATTCAATGCCAATTATCAGGACAGACAATAGATAAGAGGTATATATAGGTTTCCCATCTTTCAACGTCTTTGAAGGCTGTGCTCGGTTCCGGCCATGAGGAACCTTTGGAAGCTGTCACTCCATCTCCTTGCGTAAGAGCTTTCTTTGTTTGAAAACTTCCTCCTTTTCTGACTGAAATGCTGTGCCTAAAATACCTCCTCACTTAATACAGTTGCTATTTATCTACTTGTATTTGTTTTCAAACTGCTAGGTAGGCAGAAGCTGGGCTAAAGGTCAGGCACTCATCCTGACCGGGGCTTCAAACTGCCAACCTCCCTGTTGGTGAGACTTATTGCAGTTGGTGATTAACCTACTGTGCTAAAGCCTTGTCTATTCCATTCATTTTAACAATAATTAACATTATTAACATTTACTTTGGGTTCGCATTTTGACTGCTGAAAACATTTAAAATACATCATGTTGAAGGTCCTTGCAGAAACTCTACATTACAGGTCAACAATATTATCTTCCTACGGCAGATGGAGTATGCATTGAGACAAAGAGGGGTTCACAAAGACTAGTTGGTGAATTCATGGAACAGGAAAGATTTGTACCCCCCAATGTCCAGCACCTTTGACCAGGAATTATATTTTCATTGTTCTTTTGTATTTGCCCCCACAACTCTCTTTCTCATAATATAATGTAATATTCATCCCTATTTAAATGAAAGAGTCTTTACCTTGGAATGTTTCTGAAAATGAGGCAAAGATCGGTTCTCAAAGCCATCAGGCACACGGGACCCACTGATAGCTTGTTGTCCAACACAAGCAATCATCTGTGATATGTTAATGAAGGAGCCTACCAGGAAAAACACAGTCATTCAAAGCAATATGTAAATAGAATCCTTGTTTCATTATTCAAAACATCATGTTGAAAAGTAACCCAACATTAGTGAAGGAAGTTGGATGTTTGTTTATTATAAAACCTCTAGTCCAAAATAAGTAACTTTTCCTAGATGCTATATTACAGCGGGCTCTGTCAGGCCACTGATTATTTGATAACCAATGCTTATTGTACGTTGGGCAAACAGTTTCAATTCAAAACAGCTTACCATGTTTGATGCCTCAAATGCAATGACAGTATGTTGGCACTAATTACAAATCACATTTAAATCTGTCCTTGTGGCTCTAAATTTCTGAAGTGATCTAAATTTCTGGAGTGATTTGTAGAACAGCAGTGCCCTTGTGAAAATGGTTTTCCTATCTGACAAAGTATTGATAAGTAACAAAGAACAATTTCACGGTGACCTTTAGTTTTCTAAAGAACTAACCAGTTTACCTTTTGAACCACAAAGAGCCATGATGAGAGGGCTATTACTCTTATCCAATTCTCTCAGACAGGCGCTGCCAGCATGGTCTCTTATCACAGACAGCTCTTTCAGAATCAATGCCTATAGAGAGATTTACAGTTATTAACTGATTGTAACAAGACTGTACCTACTTAGAATTTACCTCAACTCTTTCATTTCACCCTATCTAGTTTTAATCACTAAGAAGTGTAGCTAAAATGGACAATTGTTGACATGTGCCTTCAAGTTATTTTTGACTTATGGCAACCTTAATGTGAATTTATCATGGGGTTTTGGGGCTCTTGTTATTTAGAGGACATTGTCCCTCGAAGGCAACTGGCTTCGGAGTCAGGAGCTGCTTCTTCTGTCTCCATAGAGACAAATATCTTGGTGCCAAGGTGACTCTCCCAAATAATTACATTTGAACATCCATTTGATTAAATAATAAGACTGTTTAACACTCCACGGTGAGTAGAGCAGCTGAGAAGCAGGGAAAATTAGTTGCGAGAAGGAGAAAGAGTAGAATATAAACAACAGCTTCATAATGGGAAATGAGAAAAGATCACACTTCAAGGGATCAAATCACAATAAACTAATTAACACATATGAGATTTTTTTAAAAGGGAGAGAGAGGATGAATAGAGTTTCAAAAAAGGAGAATGAAGCAGACATTTAGAAATGGTAGAGATAGAACAACAATACAGAATTAAGAAATTCAAGAACTGCGGAGTACTCCGGGCATAGGTAAGGAAAAAATATGACAAAAGGGTCTATGAGCAACCAGTTACCCAATCAATTTAAAGCCATGGGATTTCCTTGCCTCTGCTTGTGCAGTGATGAGTGTAAACTCAATTGCTCATTTCTTAAACCAAAGAAGATATATAGTAGGGCTGTGCATGGATCCTTTTTTTCAAAACGGGCTCCAGCTGTTTCAACTCTTTTTGGCCAGCTGTAGCGGCACGGGCGCTGCCACCATTATTTTTTTCAATCACAACAGACTAGATGGTTGCCGAAAATGGCTGATTTCCATTTCTTTTGGCTACACATGGAGAGCAGAGTGCCAGCCATGCACCCACATGGGTTTCCCTGTGAGGCTGTGAGCCCTGCTGCCTGCCTGAGTCAATCAGAAGAAAAAAGCCACTCACGTGCTCTGTTTTCTATCTCAGTGACTTTGCTGCTCTCAGGATTGCTTTGTTTGCTTTTGGACTCAATTCCTATTTTTCCTTTTGCAATTTCCTTTTTTTCTTAGTGAAATGTTTTTCATTTCTTCTTTCTAAAACTATTTTGCTAGGGAAGTGAGGGTGGACATGTGTTTGGGGGGCTGTGAAAAGTCATTGGGGGGTATTTAAATATTGGGGTGGTTTACTGAAGAGAGGATATAGCCTGACTCCCTTGAGTCCTCACAGGGAGGGTTCAATTCCTCCCCATGTGTAGTTGAAGGATAAGAGAGCAGACAACATCAAAAAAGTGGTTTTTTAAGTCTGATGCCTTAACCCAGCCCCCCCCCCCCCCTGCCAGTGTCAGGAGTGACTTTTTTTTAAACACATTTTTATTGAAATATTATAAAATTACAAGGAAAGTGGGTGAATATTTTCAAGAAGATAGAAAAGTAGGAAAGTTGTGAAAGAAGAGATAAGAACAAATATAAAAAGCATATAGACCAATAAAAATATAAAAAATATTTAAAAATATATAAAAATATAAAAATTCAGGTCACAAAACAAAAAGGGAAAAAGGTTAATTCTGCCCGTATTCTCTTTTTTGTCTGTATTTATATTTTGTGCTTCTTATTTTGTGCTTCTTATTTATAAGCTAAGTCCAGTTATAAATCTTTGTACCTATTTTCAATATAATCCTCAATTATTGACCTCAATTTACATGTGACATATTTAAAAAAAATTTTTGTCGTGTCAGGAGTGACTTGAGAAACTACAAGTCGCTTCTGGTGTGAGAGAATTGGCCATCTGCAAGGACGTTGCCCAGGGGACACCCTCATGTTTTTGATGTTTTACGATCCTTGTGAGAGGCTTCTCTCATATCCCCGCATGGGGAGCTGAAGCTGACAGAAGGAGCTCATCCCCGCTCTCCCCGGATTCGAACCTGTCGGTCTTCAATCCTGCCGCCACAAGGGTTTAACCCATTGCGCCATCGGAGGCTCCAACCCAGGTCTAGATGAAAGATACAGTATTAGAGGAAAGGATCCCCCAAAAGTAGTTTCTTAATTCTGATGCCCTTAAAATGGCAGAAAGGGAGCCTCAGAAGTTCCCCCATTGCTGCGAATGGTCTGGAGGTTCCTGGAGTAAAAATGGATCTTTCAGCTGCCAGAGAAAAAAATGGAATGTTTCCCATCCAAATTCAGGAGGCTCCTGAAAAGTGGATGGGGGCGGCACTGAAATCCACACACCAAAAATGGTAGGGAGTTTAACCGAATTGCACACCCCTAATATATAGCTCACCTCTAGAGTCTCTTCTGCTGTACAGCCGGGCTGCTGTTGCAATTTTCCAGTTTTCAAAGCTTCAATGTACTCATCACACTTCTTATAACCAGCATTCAGAAGTTCATATTTTGCCTTCAATAGCCCTTGTCCTGGGGTGACATCACCAATTCCAATTGAAAAACCTCGATTAGCTGTGTTGGCAAAGAAAAACCAAATACACACATCAATTTTAAAGCTACAACACAGAAGAAATCTCTCTTCAGACATACTGTATTTCATTTCATAATGGTTGCACTTTCCCCCTTTTCTTCATCAAAAAGGGGGTGCAACTTTGGTGAAAAAGGGCTTGTTTGTTCCAAAATAGCAACTTTTTAATTAAATCAATGTTAAAAACAACTTCACTCACTCACTAGTCCACCAACCCATTCACAGTGTTCCTGGAAAGGAGTGGCTGAGCAGATGGATGGCTGTGTTAGTGAGTGGCCAGTTGAGTACCACTCACACACTCACATACAATCGTGAGGAATTCTAAAATACTGAAACCAAGGCCCAAGAAAGGACATGCCATTATTATGTGATGGAGCCTGTTATGTTGAAATATGGTACGTTGTCTTGTACATATTCAAAATTTGTAAATATTTAAAACCTAAATTCAAAAGTAACCATTCTTTTCCTTCCCCAGCATCTATATCCATTACTGGGATCACATGAAAAGTTAATTAATTTTTGCATGCAACTCCTTCACAGCATCTGAGATAACTCCACAGGCAAAAGAGATTTATCTTCTTTCCATAGCTGTCCAGATTTACAAAGTTAAATTCAGTTTTCAATATTATTTTCAAATATTTTATGTTTTCTGTCTACCTCTTTCTCACAGACTTATCCTGTGAGCTATGCAAGATCTCAGACAATTTAGTTTTACTAGAACTAAATTGATCTTGATACACATTTGGACTTCTGAAAACAAAATGGATTACTTTGGCCTGTGACTTTTTTCCCCTCTGGATTGTTGTGAGCATAAAAGACAAAAGGAACAATATACTGCAATGTAAAAATAAGTGAAACTATTACAAAATCTTTTTTTCTAAGCACTTACAGAGGTAGACAGGAGCAAGTCTAGCCAATCGTGACATGGCATCAGCTGCTTCCACTTGTCCCCAGTCTCTCAGCAAAATGTAGAAGATATTATTCTTGGATCCAGATCCTAAAGTTCCTTTATCCATGCTGCCAGACATTAGCTCACTATTATGGATGGTAACATCTGAAACACAAGTCCATTATGTTGTCAATATAAGCATTCTAACCAATCCTGGTTTTATCACTCATTTCTTCTATTCTTATTATGGGAGTTAAGTCAGCAGACTGTCATCAAAGCCTCAAAATGGGAAAGCATACCAATGGAAACCCAACTGCACATATATATTGGAAAAGAAAAGACAGGGAGGTGATCCAATATATTCTGAGGTGGGAGAACTCTCTCTCTTAATGAGTATCCACATACAGATGGACACAGTAGTCTTGCCTATGACCTCAATGAAAACTAGATCTCAGGAACCACAAGAAATTTATTTATTTATTTATTTCGAGGTTTTATATAGCGACCCTCTCACCTTCAAAGAGGGAGTCAGACCGGTTCACAACATGTGTTAACATACAAAGAATATACAATAACAACACAATGCCATTTCATAACACGATTAAAATATCAGCACTATACACATTAAAACATTATCATCACAGTTAAAAGAGCCAAATCGTCCGACACCATCACAATCCCATTCATCATCCTCCTTTCATGTGGGCAAAGAATTAAATCAGTTGTCAAATGCCGCGTTCCACAACCAGGTCTTTGTTAGTTTCCTGAACGTCATGAGGGAGGGGGCAGTTCTGATCTCTAATGGCAGGGAGTTCCAAAGTCGAGGGGCCACCATCGAGAAGGCCCTGTCCCTCGTCCCCACCAGCCGTGCTTGTGCAGGCGGTGGGACCGAGAGCAGGGCCCCTCCAGACGATCTTAGTGGTCTTGATGGTTCGTAGGGGAGAATACATAATAACATACATTACCCATCTAACAAAATGTGAACAAAACTTATTTTCACCAACTAATTAAGTGCTTTGAAAAAGATAGAATAGTAATCAGCTACCTATGGAGATACTTTAAACCAGCAATTTTCAGCATTTTCAGGCTCAAGCTCCACATTCAGTCCCAACTTGCAACGTGACACCTTACTAAAATTATATACTGGCATTCTTTGTCCAATACACTGCAAATCAGAACATGTCTCTGGTTTAGATCCTGAAATACTTCTTGAAAGATTGATTATCTTACAGTGGAAAAACTAAGTTAACTTGCATGCAGAGAAATCATTGTAACTTGAGCCATAACACAGAGGAAAAACTCAACACATTTCCGTTTCACAATATGTTAAATGTTGTTTTAAGCCACAAAAGTATACCCACAACAAGAAGTTGTAAATAACAGCTTAAACCATGTTATTACAACAATAAATCAAGGACATAAACTTAAGTGAACTCAACAATTTACTGACTAATTCAAAGTGATTAATTCTCTAGCAAGGAGACAATGATTCTTCTTCTTGGTATGTTTGCAAGGCTGGCAAACTTCACTTTGCTAGTTTAAGGAAGGATTGTTCTAGACACATGAATAAGATGGATGCATATTTTAGTGTAGGGCCTACAACCTCCACCACAAGACTTTTTACTTCAGCAACAAACAATACCTTGCCTGGTATCTATTTCTTAAACATCTAAATATTTGAAGGTCTGTCTCATCAGTTTCTTCCAAAACAATCACAAACAGGATTTTATTTTACTTATTAAAATAAAAATATCTATTACACTGGGCAACACACATTTTGGCGCCTCAAATGTGAGATCTGTTCTCGGGTATATTTGACCTGCTGATTCTGGAAATGGCACCAGTATCCCTCTATGAGCATTAGCTTTTGAGATACAGAACATATGCCATATACTAGTCTTCATGTGCTCACCCATAGAAAACTATAATAATTGTATCAAATAAAGTCTATCAAATGCAATTTTCTGATTCAGCACCCCAAATAACCCCAAGAAAATACTAATTAGAATTTAAAACAAAATACTTCATTTTTTGTTCTAAATTCTACTTAGTCCTAAATAGAACATTCACACTTGTAAAAATTTTCACAACACACTCCAGTTTTATAGTAATATGCGATTTAAATGGCATTTTGTTGCTGTTCTGTTCTTCCAGACATTTCCAACATATGATGGCCTTATGCTGAATCAATGTTAGGATTTTCTCAGTATGATTTGTTCAGAAAGGGGTTGTCTATGCCCTACTCTGAAGCAGAAGGAGTGTGACAAGTCCAAGGCGAGCTAGAAGGGTTTCAAACTCTAATCTACAGAGCTATAGTTCAATGTTCAACCCACTACATAATGCTGGGTCTCCTCAGTAGCATACACCAACAATAAACCTGAGCAAATTAGCATGCTGCAAGCCATTGTTGCCAGTTTACAATCATGGGATGAAATGCCACCTTCACTTACAGGAATCATTGGTACACAAATCTTCTCCTTTGCCACAATACTGCTTGCCTTTAGTCCGGAGATTGGCCTTGACCGGACAACTCTTGCTAGGCTTCAGAATGACACCAAATACCTGCTTTCCTGTCCACAGGGTCACAGGCTGAAAATGGACAGACACAAAAAAGGTTGTAATTACACACCACATGACTTCTGCTAACTAGAACTCTAAATATTGAACTTCATGGTATCTACAGGAAATCTGGCCTCCTCCAAACGTTGGACTTCAACTCTCATCAGACAGACTAGCCATTCATGAAGGGTGACAGGAAGACTTTTGGAGGATCAGAAGGTCCCCAGCTCCACTCTAAAGATTCCCAACTACTCTTCAAGTATATGTACACACAAGTAGCAATTAAATTAGATCATTCAAGTTAGATGTACATATCAAAATGTCAACCTGATTCATATTTAGAATTAAGGCTTAAATGTATGGATCAACGTGGGCCAGGGAAATGTGTCAGCTCTCCTAAACATTCACCAAATCTTTGTCTCATAGTGGTTGCAAACTATTCTATCCTTCTCTGGAGATTTTTAAACAGAATTTGGAAGGTTATCTCTCAGGGTCCTTTATTGCATTGGGTTGAACCAGATGGCCCTTGTGGTCCCTTCAAACTCTATGTTTCTATAATCTATAGCATTTTGCATTCCATTATCTTTGTGCTTATTTTAATGACAGGCAACTGAAACAGAGTGAACTCAGCTGCAATAACCAGCAATTTTTAGATCAATCAATTTCAGTAATTATGGCACTTTAACATTTATCTCTGAAGCTAAAAGATGTGTATTTACAGCAATTTGAAATATTCAGTCTGAGACAAAAAAAGGCATGAAGCAGTTATATTCAGCTGTCCTCAAACGACTCTTCGTTTATCAAAGAATGCCTTTTTGCAGATGACTGAGAGACCTACCCTGATCCATTCCATATAAAAGGAAAAAGATCTCTGGAGAAAAGTAAGTCATTAGAGATGCAACGCAGACTATTTCTCTTTCTCTTACAGATGCAATACCTTGAGAATTGCCGGAGGTGGGAGGTGAACTTTAATTTTTTCATCCTTGCCAACCAGGATAGAAGCAATAATCTGACAAGTTTTGGCTCGGTCAAAAAAAGTATCCTTCAGTGTAAGAAGGTAGGCTCCTGAAAAACAAAAGTTCTTCAGTGAAAAAATTAAGCAGAATAACTAATGAATTAAGACATACATTTACAAAAAAGATTGCAAAAACAGACCTGTAAGGAAATCCTGGATTGCAGCAATAAGAGGCTCTCCATTTCTTGGAGTGACCAAATTTGCTTTGGTCTAAATGAAAGAAAAATATTGTTTAGTGCATTCATTAAACTAGGCAACTCCATAAAGTGTCACATTATTTTTATTTGTAGTTCTATGTATCTATGAGACCTCACAACACAGGTTACAATATCCCCTCATGATTGTTTTCAGCAATAGAAATGAGGCCAATTTTTGGCCTCTATTACAGGTCTAGTGTAGCTTTATCTGCACCTCAATGGTTTTGCAATAAATAGACATCCAGTATGACAAAAACCAGTTCCACTTCCATACTTGAATGTTACATTTTTCTCACTGGCTGTGTGTTTATATCAGATGCATTTTGTTGTTTATTCATTCAGTCGCTTCGTGACCTCATGGACCAGCCTACGCCAGAGCTCTCTGTCGGCCTTCACTACCCCCAACTCCTTCAAGGTTAATCCAGTCACTTCAAGGATAACATCCATCCATCTTGTCCTTGGTCGGCCATTCTTCTTTTTTCCTTTCATTGTCCCCAGCATTATGATCTTCTCCAAGCTTTCCTGTCTTCTCATTATGTGGCCAAAGTACTTCGTCTTTGCTTCTAATATTCTTCCCTCCAGTGAGCAGTCAGGCATTTTTTATCCAAGCACTGCTTTAGCAACTTTATTATTAATTATGAAGGCTACTCCATTTCTTCAGTGTTCCTCTTGTCCACAGTAGATCTGGTGGTCATCTGTTGTGAAGTGGTCCATCCCAGTCCATTTCAGCTCACTAACTCCCAGAATGTCTATCTTTAATTTTGACATCTCATCGATAACAACATCCAGTTTGCCCTGGCTCATAGATCTTATATTCCAGGTTCCTATAGTGTGTTGCTCTTTAGAACATTGGATTTGTCGTTCACCTCCAGCACAGTTGGCCGCGAGCCCTCCTTTCGGTTTGAGCTATCTGCATCATCACATCTAGGGATAGCTGAACTTATCCTCTGCTCCTCTTCAGTAGCATTTTGTCCATCTTCCAACCTGGGAGTCCCATCTTCTGATAGTATACCGATATTTCTCTGGTTGTACTGATCCATTTAGTTTCCATGGCAAGAATACTGGGGTGGGTTGCCATTATCTTTCCCAGGGATCGTATTTAGTCTGACCTCTCTGCCATGACCTTCCTGTCTTGGGTGTCCTTTCACAGTTTCGCTCGTGGTGTCATTGAGGTGCTTAACCTCCAGCACTGCAACAATACATATGCAATAGTATGTGGGTGCTTGCAGCCCCTAATTTGGTTAATGTTGACAGACTGTGTTAACTAGACATGCATGTTACTTAATCAAAAGAAGGTCAGATTTAGGCAGCTATGCTCACTTTTGGCACCCAGGTAATAATCTAAAGACTAAAGTAGATCTGCTAATAGTTTCTAATTCTGTCTCCACTTGGAAAATTTGGAAATAAAAGCTAATCCTTGCTGAAGATAGATATTCGAAGTAGTCAGTTTTCAATCTATGACATTCTCAACAATAGGTAAATCATAACAATCTGTTAACATATGTTATTTTTATATCTTTTCTCCATACCTAATACAGACTCCTCTTTTGATAAATTACCCACCTTCTTTTGCAAATTTATCATTCCTAAAAACTGTAACCAGAGATGGAAACTGACCAGCAACCATTCAACCACATCTCAACAAATAAATGGGAACTCTGCCTACCCCCATAAGGACAAGGGCTTCTGCTTTGGCTTCTTCAGTTTGGGGAAGGTGAAGGTTCATTTCATCGCCATCAAAGTCAGCATTGTATGGTGTACAAACACATTCATTAAATCGGAAAGTCCGGTGTGGTTTTACTCTAGCCTTGAAAGAAAACAAAACAAAAGAAGAAGGGAGATAGAAGAAAACATGTCAAGATATCAAGAGAAGGCAACAATGTTCTTGGACCATGTGTGATTTAAAATGTTTCTCTTTTTAACACGTACACAAAATGTTGTCCTTTGTGTAAAAGTTCTGATACCCTTTCTCTTACTGTAAAATTTCAATAAAAAGAAACTATGCTATTCATAACAATATAACCCAGTTCAAAGCAAATAATGTGGTATTTTATTCAGCAGTGTGAAAGGGGCCTTAAGAAAGAACAAATGAACTGGACTAAAGAAACATTATTCTACTTACTATATGAGCCATGATACTGAGTTTGTGCAAAGATGGTTGTCGATTGAACAGAACTATATCCCCATCTATAAGGTGCCTCTCGACAATGTCACCATACTTCAGCTCCTGAGCCATCTTTTCACGGTTTCCATATTTCAAAAACCTATGCAGAGAAGAAGGAAGACAAAGAAAAACACTGACAGATAAGAAAAATCTCAGGAGCAATAGTTGTTTTCCAGTCTGAACAAGGAGCCTACCCAACTGGAACTAAATGCATGCTTTTGAAAAATTACTGAACCTCATAATGATGGAATCAAATCACTGAAATTGTTTCTAAGCCATTTTACAACCCGATAGACAATATTTTAAGTTACATATCTGACTCCAAGTAGAGCGACTTGTACAAATAGGGGCTGCTATGTACAATTCCTCCTTATCCGAGCCCAGTAATGGGAGGTATATATGAAACTTCTTTCAAATCATGGTCTCAAATAAATGAAATTAAATAAAGGAAAAATATTCTGTGAACTTCTAAAAATGTTCACAAGAAGAACTGAAATTGCAAGATCAAGATCAAATGCCTATGATATAGAAAACAGCTATTTCAGATACCTTTTCATTTGTGTGTGTCTCTGTTGAATGAAGTTTGCACCAGGATGAGCCTCAGGGCCATTTCGAACAAGTTTCCTCATTAAATCTATGTTGGCTTTGTTCACCTGAAAGAGGAAAGTTTATGTGAAAAAGAAAAATATTCCCAGTATCGTGATTCCTGTTGCTGGGCTGATTCAAAGACTTTCGTTTCAAACATCTATGTGCAAAATCTCCTTTGAAGAGCCTGCGGGATGTAAGTGGTCTACAGTGCCCGATTGAAACGCAGGGACACCATGAAAATCCAAGGTTCAAACAGTTTCTTCTTGGATAAGTCAACCTTTTTCAGCTGAAGAGGAAGGCAACTGCAAGTGTCTTTTGAATAAATCTTATCAAGAAAACCCAAAATGGGATTTCCATTAGTTGAAATCAGCTTGAAGACACATAAGAATAACAAGTTCCATTTCACATGTGTTATCATCAGCAGAGGCATTGTCCACATCTCTGCCCTTCTGCTGTTTGGTATGTTTGGTATGCTATTTGTCTTTTAGCTCAACTGCTTGTCTTCATCTACAATGGATGTTTTGTGACTGGTCACAATCACCACGGCAGCCATTTTATGTCATAATGCTCATGACATTTTATCAAAATTCCAACAGTGCTGACCAGCTCCAACAGGTTGGAGATTTCAAATATCTAGAATGCAAATCAAGACAATGTGTTGTCAAAGGCTTTCGTGGCCAGAATCACTGGGTTGCTGTGAGTTTTCCAGGCTGTATGGACATGATTAACACTGAATGGCCTTGCAGCTTCAAGGCCTGGCTGCTTCTTGCCTGGAGGAATTCTTTGTTGGGAGGTGCTAATCAAGATGGCCAATTGCAACATTCACACCAGCCTCCAACAGACAAAAGTTCTTTCTCCCACCTTGGAGATTCCACAGATACATAAACCCCATTTGTCTTGTTTCCAACAAACCTCACAACCTCTGAGGATGCCTGTCATAGATGTGGGTAAAACGTCAGGAGAGAATGCTTCTGGAACATGACCATACAGCCTGGAAAACTCACTGCAATCCATAAATCAAGACAGTATTGGATTCTATATGAACTTTCTCTGATATGGCAGTCCATGCCAAGCATGAGAATTACCCTTGATAGAAACATTTATTTATTTATTTCACAGGGGGGGACTCAGGGCGGCCTCATTCAGTGCTATCATAATGATAAGAAGAATCAACAAATTCATTAAAACAAAACATTTAACAGTTGTTAAAACACGCCAATTAAAATCCAGGTACGGGTCAATTCATTGTCACTTCGAAATTGCTTATGTCTTCTTTATGCAAGTCGATATTCAATGGCCAAATGCAAGGTCCCACAGCCAAGTCTTGAGTTTCCTTCTACAGGACAGGAGGGAAGTAGCCAGTCTGATGTATTTGGGGAGGGAATTCCACAGATGGGGAGCCACTATTAAGAAGGCCCAATTGCGTTTGCGACGGTGGTGGGATCGAGAGCACGGCCTCTCCAGATGATCTTATACTTCATGATGATATACAGAGATTCTGAGAGCTACTATGGCAAATGATCACAGCACCCAGGGTGCAAAGGACAATTTGCTTTAATCTCAATAGTTACCTTCTCAGGAAATGTTAATATTTTTGCAACATGGACTGGTACAGCTACTTCATCAATTCGTAAGTTTGGGTCAGGAGAGATCACTGTTCTGCCTGAGAAGTCTACTCGCTTTCCAGACAAGTTCCCTCTGAACCGACCTTTAAAAAAAGGAAAGAAGCAGCAAGGAGAACAACAAGGATAAGCGACCCAGTAAAAAAAGCATTATCTATGTTACCGTGCCTCACTTCGTTAGCCTATCTGCCAAAAAGCAATTCTGAGTATTTTAGTATGTAAGGCATTTACACAGCAGTTCATGGCCTATCATAATAGACAAAATCTGTCCTGAGCAGTTTAGAAGCTAAACATGTATGCCAAGAATATCTAATACCTTCCATCCCTCCATCTTCCACTGGTTTGTGTATACATTTTTAACCTGAGTAATTTTCCTATGCTAACAATTTCTTATTTCTATGCTTTATCTGTGATCTTAATCTTGTATCTGACTGTTTATATTTTTATATTTTTCTTTAATATATATTTTAGTTTACATTTAAACACAATTTACTGTTAGATACTATTTTAATTTTAAATTAGAATATGGCCCGAGTGACAGAAGAATACTTAAATAATGGTAAAGATATCTCTAAATAAATAAATCAGATGAAGGAAGACACAATGGTGGAGGCAGAATCACAGGAAAATGTGTATTCTGTTCCTCTGTACATATTTGAAGCTGGGAACAAAGCTAGATGACAAATATAAGGCAAGTCAAAGGTTCTGAGGGTGGTAGAGTTCTGAAGGGATCTATCCATCTAACCATAAGCTTATCCAGGCATCAAGGGGAACAAGGGTGAAGTGTTGAAAGTAAGAAAGGGATATTTGGATACATGAGCCAGAATTAAAAATGTGAGAGGCGGGGATACAATAGGAGAGAAGGTAGAAAAATACAGTTTAATGCACAGCATTTTCAATAATGAAAACACAATTGTAATTGATGAGGTTAGGGCTATCTAGATTTGACAACTTCACCAGCATAAAATGTTTTAATTTCAGTGGTAGGAGTACTACATAATGACTCATTCATAAGCACTAGGATAAATACTGTCTAGTGGCAAGGAGTCTATCTGGCAACTCAGGTAAAACAGCCTAACTAAAGAAAATGCATATGTTCAAATGTGACAGCTAAAGGCAGTTGAGATGACGCTGGATCACCTACCCTGCTTTCCTTTCAGCCTTTGAACAAACCCTCTTGTCCACTTTTTGGGTGCCATGTTGAGAGGAATGCCAGAAAGTTCACTGTTAATATATAGAGCACACTGCAACTGCAGGAAGTCCCAATCCTCCATTATCATCTGAGTTTTGGCTCCGGATATTCTATGCTAAAATGAGAACAAATTCAAGAAAGTAGATTTCAATTCATGCAAGTTAAAAATTTTACAGAAAATTTAGTTGTAGTCATTTTAATATGAATTTTCATGTGATTTCAAGAACTGAGACACTTCTTTTGAACCCAAAATTCACAAAAACTAATTTTATTTTTGGACCAGCTGAAACACACAAAATACATAATGCAAGCTTTTGAAGCCTGACTGACTTCTTCATAAGGCAAAATATGTTTAAAGTCATACAGGAGAAGAAAAGAGTCACAACCCTACATTTTGTATCAGATGTTGTTTCTGTTGAGGTTAAGTTGGAAGCATCTCAATGTAAGCAGAGGCTACTCTCTTCTTATCTTGTGGAATCTGAGATACAGGGCAGTGAAAATTAAATCCCATAAGCAGCAAAAAAGAACTTCTCTTGGGATGTATGTAGGTCTGTGACTCTAACATTATTACTTTTCTTCTCTTGTACAATTTTAATATTTTTTTGCCCAACGAAAAAGACAGTGGAGCTTTGAAAGCTTACATGGAATATTTTAAGCTTTTCAGTTGGCCCAAAAAATGTCACTGTGGATTTTGTATTTTATTGTGTGGCCAACACAGATATCCCTGAATATGTTTATATATGATTACCAACATATCAAACAATAAAAGTTATTTTCTCTTATTTTTACTAGAAAAATGAAACTTGATAACTTGTACCAACACATAGTACTTGCTCAGATCAAAATTGACCTGGCTGAAATTGATATTACTGAATCAGTGAATTCTGTTATGAGGATTCCACTAATTAAAAGAGGCGATATGACAATTAAGAGTCAGATCCAAGCTAACTCTTATTAAATTCTACCCACAACACAGAAAAAGATGAACATCATGTCTACAACATGCCACAACCAACATGTAATCTATATATGTGGGTGTACATATACACACACACTGCAACACAGTAAACCACCTGATTCAGATGAAGAGCTTGAAAAACTAACCGTCCATTCCATATGCACATTAAATGCTAACAGCATCCCAATAATTTAAAATGTACCAATAAAAAGGAGAGCACAGCTATTTCCATTATGTTGCTATATAAAGTTAAAAAGCACCTCACCTTTTTGATCACATCATTGAGGAAGATTATTTCTGTCAGCTTCATGGTTAAGTCATCCTCATTGGTTCCGGACTTTAAGTCGCTCACCACAGAGGGCCGAATGCAGAGCGGGGGAACTAAGAGCCGCGTCAGGATCAAGTCAGAAGGCTTGCCTGATTCAGGGTTCATTAAAAGCAGAGGAATATCTTCTGCAGGAATTCTCTTTAGGAGATTCAAAACGACTAAGGGATTCAAGTTCTCCTATAAAATCCAGAAGATTAATAATTTCATGTTAGGGATGCAAAGCTGGAAAGCATTTTTTTTTACATTTCCACTCATGCTCTCTCACATACACATTTGCCAGGTAAGATTAAAACAGTAATGAACAGCACCACTTTAGAGGTACAGTGTTCCCTCATCATAGGTATTATGTTCCAAGACCACTCGTGAAAAGTGAAAATCCGTGAAGTAGGGATGCTATATATGTCTATCGAGTTTCGAGGGTGAGGCAGAAGCGAGGACAGATTTAAAGGAATGCACACATTTTTTCCTTGCTAGCTATCTCTGCTTTGCTTTGCAATCTCTCTTGATTGGCTGCCTCTCTCCAGAGGGGGAGGGTGAAACCCCCTTCCACACTCCATCATTGCCAGGAAGTGGGATTAGAATGCCGCTCTGGGCAACAGCAACCATTCACAAACTGGGAGACAAAAACCCGCAAAACAGTGAGTCCGTAAAAAGCAAACTGGGAAGTAGTGAAGGAACACTGTATAAATATTTAGGATTACAAGGTAAACATGTACCTCAAGATGTCCAAGAGAAACTACAGGATATACGGGCAAAGTGTCTTAAATTGCTTAAGATGGTATTCTAATAAATAATGAAATTTGTTTGTACCTATACAACCTAAGCATTTCATTGGGCAGAACCTAGGGCTAAGCTGGTAAACAGGCTGGGATTTCTGGGAGTTGTAGGCTAAACACCTGGGGACCCACAGGTTGAGAACCACTGGGCTAAGCTGATTTTCTCCCCACTCTGTTACCACATCCCTGGCTTCCACGCTCTTTCACTCTCCATCTCAATTCTGCCTTCTATTTCACCACTGTAATCCTGAATAATACCTCACCTTCAGCCTAAGGTAACAATCACAGTAATTCTCCACTTTAGTACTTGAAGTACTGTCAAAACACATACTTTGAAGAACCTCAAATATGACAGGGCACACACGTATGCTTTACTGAAATGCCTTGATATAATAGCTCTCTGAGCATATTATATGCTAGAAATTCAGACAGCCATGTGTGGGAGTACAAGTCTGAGGCTTAGTCAGGTTTTCTGGATAGAATTGACAGTTTTAGAAGAGTTGTTCTTACCCATTTACAGGAGCTAAATGGCACTAGGCAACATAAACATAAGGTCCCCAAATTACAGCCAAGATTGAAAGGTACTTAATGTATACAATAATTCTAGCTACCTTTATGTTTGTTTTCGTTTTTGCAATAGCTACTATTTCCCTTCCTCTTAAGAACATAAAATGTTCTTAATCAGTCCCATGCATATACCAAAGAACTATCATTAGGATCTTTGAATAGAGAAATTGTGATGTACCTCATCAGACCATCTGAAATGATGTGGATATCCTATGAATGTCAAATCTGACCCTTTCAACCCAGATGCTAATGGGTGCATATACATATATTAAGAGATCTTGTATAGCGAGGCTGCTAAATTGAAATGCTTTTGAATTAGGATGCTGCAAACACATCTCACTGAGCATCTAGATTACATTGAGGATTATCTTCAGGGTGGGTAGGCATAAGACACTACTGTGCTAGTCTAATAATCACTGCAGATTGAGAAAGGCATCCATTCTCTATCATAGAATAAAACTTTGGTTGTTTCAGTTTTGACAGGAAAAAACAGTACAAGATTATACAGGTTTCTGGCTCACCTGGGCTTTCCCCAACAAGGATTCAATTTCTTTGTTATGTTCAATAGCAGTGTCAAAAGACTGTATGAAGTTAGACACAATGGGGTCCATTATCTTCTTAGTTGTCTTATATTTCTCATGGATTATCTTTAGCAAGCCACACTTCTTGACAGTACCTACAAAGGGGAAAATACGTACAAACAAACTGACACTGGGTTGCTCCCAAATTGTGCTTAGCAAGCACACTTACAAAAAAAAGATGGCCTAGAAAAACAAGCTTCTCTTCAGGTAACAAAGCTGGCAGCCATAGGAGGGAAAAGGGAGGAAGTGGTGGTGAAGCAAAGCAGACAGAGTTGTCATTGTTATTGGGAGGGGAAGGATGGCAGATCCAAGCAAACAATTTCTCCAAAGTTTGCCACAAAGCAGAGAGGATACCTCCAGAATGTAGATACTCTGGAATGGCTGGCTTGGACAATCAACTGTGTCATGCATACCTGTCTTTTAATGCAATCCAGTATATTTTTGAAGTCAATTTCAGACAGAGCACATATGATTATTTCTCGTTTCAATCTCTCTTACAAATGCGGACTACAATCAACTAACCACATAATGAGCTATTAGATTAAGATTGTAAGAGTTAGTGGTGTGTACTGATTAACAGACTCAAAGCAGGGAGTTCCAGACCCTTACATATTTTACTCAGAGCCAATATAACTTATCCATACACATGATTCACAGGGTTGTTATAAAGTGAATAGGTGGACAAAGACAGACAAAATATGACCAACTGAGCTGCTTAAAAGGATGGGATAATTAAAAAATTCTTAAGCTATCTGAGGACACAAAGAGTCATAGCAATGAATTGCATTTGTGAACTTTTCCCCAGCATTTGTCACCATTGACTCATTTGCAATGAAAATGTATGCACTGTGTATTTGATCAGTTTTGTTCACAACTGAATAACAGGGTTCCAGATTCTGGATGGAGAAGGGGTTTAAGAATTATAGGTCAGTTTCCTCACTCACCATTAAAAGCCCCACAGTGCGGGCAAGTGTTCTTCTTCCTGCACTTTTCAGACACCTTTTTCTTCAAGCCTCGTTTCTGAAGATAAGTTAAGCCAGGTCTCTTCAAGTAATCCAAAAACTGTTTCTGCTCTTCAACAGTCAGCATGATATGGCAGCAAGTCTTGCAAATCATCTTCCAAAACAAAATCACAGAACCTTTCAAAGTTCAGTTTATATTTTCCCCTATGAAATGGTATTATTCACGAATCTCAAGAAATGATACAAACAAATATATTTCCAAACAACCAAAATATATTTCCAAATGTAATTTAATTAGTCAGAAACTCTAGCTACTGTGGCTATACGTTTAATGCAATCCTTACACTAACCTTGCAGAATAAACTCTGAATTCCACTCTGCATACTACTGTCAATATGAGAAATATGAAGAGGGAGGGATGGAGGAAGAGTACATGTTTGTTTGTGTGAGAGAGATTACTGACAGCTTGAAGAGTTCAAGGTTGAGGTGAAATAGGAAACAGGTACCTCTCTTCTTGTCTTATTGATAATGTTGTATATTTTTATTGTCTATGGTTTTTATTTTAAATTGCTTGTACTGTTGTTTATTGTCTGTATTGTTGTATTTGGGCTCGGCCTCATGTAAGCCGCACCGAGTCCCTTGGGGAGATAGTGGCGGGGATACAAATAAAGTGTTATTATTTATTATTATTATTATTATTGAGGGAATTTTCCTTTTTAGTGCAAACTAGGAACTACAACGTATCAAAACAAATCCAATGGCTTCAGCATACTGGCACTGCAATAACTCAAAAGCAAAATGACCGGTTTCAACTAGCTCAAACACATAATTTATAAGGAATCAGCTCTGTTGGCTAGTCCATTTACACATTATGTTTGTCCAATTGTCTTCCCAGAGGAACCGTCACAATTGGACCTTCACATTAAGTTCTCCCCATCACAGATCCATCATTGGTGGGGACGGAGAATGCAATTTACCTGTAAAATACCTATGACGGCTTTGAAGTATCCGACATGGAAACAAGGAAGCTCTAGGTCAATGTAGCCATAATGCCCCAAACACTCTGCCAGATTCTTTCCACAAGTTTCACAGGGGCGATCCTTTTCACTTGTACCCTTGGAGGGAAAAAAAATAAAACAATCTGTGTACTGTCAGATAAATCAGACCTGTCAACACCAGTTATTTACAGAATGGTGGGGGCGGAGAACGCAAAGATTGAGATATTTCACCCCACAACCTTAGGGAAAGTCTGTCAGGTTTTGTTAGAATAATAATAATTCCAGAATTAATCCCACTGAGGCACCCAAGATTTTAGAAGTACAACTGTAAGAACAGTCCTCATCAGCATTTACTCTGAACAGGACTCAATCTCAGTGATGGAAAGTAACAGCTCAGCTAGAAGGGAGGAATTCAGGACATAGAATTCTAGGCAAACAACTATCCAACTGGAAATACAAATGCCAACTATACTCAATTCATTTCAGCAAAGATAATTCCAATTCTGAGCTGAGAAACCTGAGCAATTTTTTGAAGCACAAAAGTTTTAGGCCCTAAACACAGTTTTTAAGAAGATACATTCTGCACACAATAAAGAGATGATACTATCGCAAATGCAGTGAGTACATATACGCACTGTTCTTTTTTGGACTATTGCAAAGATGGTCCATTATATAGCCCAGCATCGTCTGTTGGTTTCTGGAGGTTTCTAATTGAGTTTCTCCACCATATCTTGCTATCCTAGATCCTTTTAGTCAGGAAAGGCTGAGACTAAACCTGGGACTTACAGCATTCAGCGCACCTGCTTCATCATTTCACCTTGGTGTAGAAGACATGGCTGAACTACTGCACCTGAACTAGAATTTTCTCACCTGGGTGCAAGTTAGGTTTGGGTTTAGCACAGACATGGGCAAACTGTTGCCTTCCAGATGTTTGTACTTCCACAATTCCTAACAGCTGGTAAGATGGCTGAGACTTCTGGAGCCACCTGGAGCCGAAGTTTGCCCGTGCCTAGTTTAGCATAAATTGGTTTATTCAAGAACTGTCTGGATAGATATTCCTTGGATTTTACAATGAATTTGTTTCAAAAGCGAAACAGCATGAAGCAGCAAAAGGCTTTACCATTCGATGATCAAGTACGCCATGAAGTAGAGGAGAGTGATTGTTATCTTGACTGTACAGATTTTTACTAACAACTTGAATGTGAGCCTGTTGCCGCATCTCTTCTGGCGATTTCATCCCAAAGCAGATGTGGCTTCTGTAACAGAAAACAGCAGTGTGGGGAATCATAAATGCTTCTTTTGGAGTCTAGTTGCTATAGAACATGCTGACTTGCCTCTCGTAGGAAACGAATGCCAAAACCAAACAAAAAACCAAAACCAAACCCAAAACCACAATTTGGACGTAATCCTGTTTGGTGTCTTCTGCTTCTTCTTTGCACTGAGGGTACTATTTTGTGCATTTTGTGCCTTTATGTCATGGCCTTGGGTATGTAGAATAAAACTATTTGTGTGTGGGTGTATGTGTATGTATATATAGATAGATAAAGGTAAAGACATTAAGTCTAGTTGTGTCCGACTCCGGAGGTGGTGCTCATCTCCATTTCTAAACCGAAGAGACAACGTTGTCCGTAGATGCCTCCTAGGTCATGTGGCCGGCATGGCTGCATGGAACACATATGTGTATGTAAATACATGTGTGTGTGTGTGAGTATACCTATATCTGCTTATTTAAGCCACATAAGGTACAAGTGAATCTTTCAATGAATGTGAGTAGTTGGATCATAAGTAATGAGGTATCAGGAAATTCAAATGAAGAAATATACACAATGGTAAATAATAGCAACACTAAAATAAAGTACTAGGATAGTAGCAAAGACATCTGTTGAAGAAAAAAATCCTTAAAAAGGAAAGAGGAGCCTACTGCTATTGAATCCATGTAGTTAATTCTCGCTTAAAATCTTAAAATGGAAAATGCTAAGAAGTTACAGATGTTAAAAAGAGATTCTACCAGAAACTGAGACAGTTTCCAATTATCAGTCACTCTAGAGTTTAATAACATTGGTATACACTTTTCATGCAAATATTGTGTGCACACCAATACAAATATTAACCCTTGTGCCGGCTCAACTGCTGAGCTGAAGGTCGGCAGTTTGAATCCATGAGATGGGGTGAGGTCTGTCAGCTCCAGCTTCCTTTGTGGGGACATGAGAGAAGCCTCCCACAGGATGGTAAAACATCCAGGTATCCCCTGGGTAACATTCTTGCAGACAGCCAATTCTCTCACACCAGAAGCGACTTGCAATCTCTCAAGTCACTTGTGACATAACGAAAAGAAATGAAAATATTACACTAGTTGGGCACCCCTTATCCAAAATGCTTCGGACAAAGATATCTTCTGGATTTTTTTTGGGAATACATGTATTTGCATATATGCACATAATGAAATACATTGGAGAATGTTGTGTTTAGATCCAAGTCTAAAGACCACAACAATTTGTGATTGGCTTTTAAATGCTTTTAATTTTTTTAAAATTCTAAATTTGAAAAATCTGTGAAATATATAATGTTAATTAGTTGGTCTGTGTTCAATTATCTCATTGTCTTTGTTGTTTGTGTAAATGTACACTGGGTTTTCATCTTTTGGTTTATATTATTTTGCATTTTTATATGGTACTAGCCATCCCCTGCCACGCGTTGCTGTGGCCCAGTATGTGTACATATATGTTTTGTGTGTGTATATGTGTGTATATATTTGTGTATATTTGCATTTATATATGCGCTTTTGCACATGCGTTGTAATGTTGTTGTTGTTGTTTTGGCTTTTTAAGTCTCTTCTGCTGTGTTTTTCAGTGTTTTTATGAGTGATGGTCACTTGTTGGCCTGATTTATTTGTCGTGTCAGGGCAACCAGTCAGTTATATTACATTTCTAACCAACAAAGCAAACAAACAGACAAAATACAACATTTGTGATTTTGGTAGTTGATTAAATGTCCTTTGACCAGTAGCTGGCCACTTGGGAGTGCTTCTGGTGTTGCTGCAAGAAGGTCCTCCATTGTGCATGTGGCAGGGCTCAGGTTGCATTGCAGCAGGTGGTCAGTGGTTTGCTCCTCTCTACACTCGCATATCAAGGATTCTACTTTGTAGCCCCATTTCTTAAGGTTGGCTCTGCATCTCGTGGTGCCAAAGCACAGTCTGTTCAGCGCCTTCCAAGTCGCCCAGTCCTCTGTGTGCCCAGGGGGGAGTCTCTCATTTGGGATCAGCCATTGGTTGAGGTTCTGGGTTTGAGCCTGCCACTTTTGGACTCTCGCTTGCTGAGGTGTTCCAGCGGGCGTCTCTGTAGATCTTAGAAAACTATTTCTAGATTTAAGTCGTTGACGTGCTGGTTGATACCCAAACAAGGGATGGGCTGGAGATGTCACTGCCTTGGTCCTTTCACTATTGGCTGCTACTTCCCGGTGGATGTCAGGTGGTGCAATACCGGCTAAGCAGTGTAATTTCTCCAGTGGTGTAGGGTGCAGACACCCCGTGATAATGCGGCATGTCTCATTAAGAGCCACATCCACTGTTTTAGTGTGGTGAGATGTGGCCTGATAGGGTTACTGTATCCAAATTTGGTGTCAATTAGTCTAATAGTTTTTGAGTTCTGTTAATCGCATAAACTAACATTACATTTTTATTTATATAGATTGGTTTGTCTCTTTATATGTTGTAAGCTTCAATGTCCTTTGGGCTTCAGTGGATGTAGCCAAGGTCAGAAGTAGCCCTCCTGGGGACCCTTCCACACTGCCATATAACCCATAAGATTAAGGCAGAAAATCCCACAATATCTGCTTTACACCGGGTTATCCGAGTCCACACTGCCATATATTCCAGTTCAAATTAGATAATGTGGGATTTTATTCAGCTGTGTGGAAGGGCCCTGGAAGAAACTGTGAAAATTCAAAACCAGGGAACAGAAGTATTTTGTGTCTGGCCCCACAGAGCTTGCCAAAAGGTCCCCCTTCGCCACGTGCGGTCCACCAACACCTGAGAACACAGGTTGAGGGCCTCGCACGTCAATCACCTCCTAAGCCCCGCCCCCTTTGCGCGAGTCCCTCCCCCTCCTCCTCTTTATGCCGTCACCCCGCGGCTTACATCTTCTTGGCCACGTCGGTCTCGCGGAACTGCTCCTTCACCATGGCGACAGCGGCGAGCGGCGCTCCCGCCCTACTTCCTCGCTCCTGGAACCGCCGAAAGAGAAAACTCAACTGCCTTCCCGAAAGTGGAGGGGAAAAGCCGGCAGCCGCTGCAGCCACGCGCTCACTGATGACGTTGAGGAAGCGAGGGAAGTCGGCTTTGGAGCGAGTCCCGCTTTCCTGCAGCGCCCCCTAGAGGGCGGGAGGCACAACTTGCAACGAAGGGGTCACTAATACTAGACCAGAGGTTTTCTAACTTTTCTTGCTGGTGACACACATTTGGACACCTGCCCTCTTTCGCCAGACGGTCATTCCGTTTTACTAATGAACTGAAATTGAATCCAGACAAGACAGAGGTACTCCTGGTCAGTCGCAAGGCCGAACAGGGCATAGGGTTACAGCCTGTGTTGGATGGGGCCGCACTCCCCCTGAAGACGCAGGTTCGCAGCTTGGGTGTGACCCTGGACTCATCGCTGAGCCTGGAACCCCAGGTTTCGGCGGTGACCAGGGGAGCATTTGCACAGTTAAAACTTGTGCGCCAGCTTCACCCCTACCTTGGGAAGTCTGACTTGGCCACGGTAGTCCACGCTCTGGTTACATCCCGTTTAGAATACTGCAATGCTCTCTTCGTGGGGTTGCCTTTGAAGACAGCTCGGAAGCTCCAATTAGTCCAACGCTCAGCAGCCATGATATTAACAGGAACGGAGCACAGGGAGCATACAACCCCCCTGTTGCGCCAACTCCACTGGCTACCGATTTGCTACCGGGCTCAATTCAAAGTGCTGGCGTTGGCCTTTAAAGCCCTAAACGGTTCCGGCCCAAGCTACCTATCCGACCGCATCTCTGCTTACGAACCCACCAGGACTTTGAGATCTTCCGGGGAGGCCCTGCTCTTGATCCCGCCTGCTTCTCAAGCACGTCTGGCGGGGACGAGAGATAGGGCCTTCTCGGTGGTGGCTCCTCGGCTGTGGAACGCCCTTCCTACCGACATTAGACTAGCACCATCTCTAATGGTATTCCGCAAAAAGTGAAGACCTGGCTGTTTGAGCAGGCATTCGAATAATTAGTGCAATGATTGGTTATGAACACTGGAATGGATCAATGGATGACGAATCTGGATCATGTGTTTGATGATGGGACGATAGTGAATGGCTATTGTAGTAATTGTTTATTGTTTATTAATTGTGCAATGTGTTAAGTTGATAACTGTTTTTATACTGTAACATTGAATTCTGCTGTCTCTTATTGTTGTGAACCGCTGTGAGTCGCCTTCGGGCTGAGAACAGCGGTATATAAGTAAGGTAAATAAATAAATAAATAAATAAATAAAATACTAGCAAATCAGAGGTTAAACCGACCCTTTATTAGAGTTTCATACAACATATGGTACATACAATTGTTTCATATAATCTTTACTTAGGTGATCCCTCGTAGTCTGAGGATTATGGTCCTCCAATGTCAGTGTACTGGAGGTGGGTCGGTAGGTGACTGTGGAGCTCTATTCTTGATCTGCATCTTCTCCCGTAGTGAGGGCATCGGTTTCCAGGCGGTCGGGGTTGGCTTGATGCGCCTTCCTCTTGGCACGTTTCTCTCTTTCGCCCTCCATTCATGCCTCTTCAAATTCTGCAGCACTGCTGGTCACAACTGAACTCCAGCTGGAGTGCTCAAGGGCCAGGGCTTCCCAGTTCTCAGTGTCTATGCCAGAGTTTTTGAGGTTGACTTTGAGCCCATCTTTAAATCTCTTTTCCTGTCCGCCAACATTCAGTTTTCCATTCCTGAGTTCGAAATAGAGCAGTTGCTTTGGGAGACGGTGGTCGGGCATCCGGACAATGTGGCCGGTCCAGCAGAGTTGGTGGCGGAGGACCATCGCTTCAATGCTGGTGGTCTTTGCTTCTTCCACCACGCTGACATTTGTCTGCTTGTCTTCCCAAGAGATTTGCAGGATTTTTCGGAGGCAGCGCTGATGGAATCTGGGTTGTTGTAGGCTTTTTCGGTCTATATGGCCATGTTCTAGAGCAGTGGTTCTCAACCTGGGATCCCCAGATGTTTTTGGCCTACAACTCCCAGAAATCCCAGCCAATTTACCAGCTGTTAGGATTTCTGGGAGTTGAAGGCCAAAAACATCTGGTGACCCCAAGTTGAGAACCACTGTTCTAGAGGCATTCTCTCCTGACGTTTCGCCTGCATCTATGGCAAGCATCCTCAGAGGTAGTGAGGTTTGTTGGAACTAGGAAAATGGGTTTATATATCTGTGGAATGACCAGGGTGGGACAAAGAACTCTTGTCTGCTGGAGCTAGGTGTGAATGTTTCAACTGACCACCTTGATTAGCATTTGATGGTCTGGCAGTGCCTGGGACAATCTTGCCTCAAGATTCCCCTACCCTGAACATTCCACAAATATATAAACCTCCCTTGTCTGGTTTCCAATATACCTCACAATCTCTGATGGTGCCTGCCATAGAAGTGGGCAAAATGTCAGGAGAGAAAGCTTCTGGAACATGGCCAGAGAGCCCGGAAAACACAGAGCAACACCATGTTTAAACAAGATTTGCAAATTTCCCATTGACACTTCTGTACTAGTTGATTCTTGTGCTGTTCCCTCTTTTGTTACTCCATGGGGGACCTCACAAACATCTGAGGGCTCTTCCAGGATCTAATCCTGGACACAGCATATTATTTATCTGGCAGTGCAGATTCATATAACCCAGTTTAAAGCAGAAAACCTGGGATAAGATTCTGAAATATGGGGTCTATCTGGAAGGGCCCTACATCCTCACTGACATATATTCCAGTTCAGAGCAGAAAATGTGAGATTTTATTCAGCTCTGTGGAAGGGGCTTTAGTGTGATAAAGCATGCAATTCCACTTGTATTTAATTTTCTGTATATTCAAAGCCATAGCCATCTACTTTGAAGAATGAATGCAGTTAGAGACTTCAATTCCCATGGCTCAATGATAAAGAATCATGGAAATTGTGCTGTACGTCTTTCGTCTCCTATGCTAAAGAGTACTGGTGCCTGGCTCAACTACCATTTCCAGTCAAACAGCAGTCCTAGTGCAGCCAAAATACTTGTATTTCCAGTTATAATCTCCAAAAATTTGGAAGCTGTCTCCTCGCTACTCTGCATGCAAGGCCTCCTTGACAACGGGAAAGTTTTTCCTCAGAGGCTACATGGCCATCTGTCGGGAGTACTTAGATTGTGTGGGAATGGGATTGGACTGGTGGTGAACTCTTCCCACACGGTGATTACACCAAATTGGGAGGGATAACCAATACTCCAGAAAATAGGAGCAGAATTCAAAACGATCTTAACTGATTAGTGAGATGGGCCAAAACATACAAAATGAAATTCAATAGCGACAAATGGAAGATACTCCAGAAAAAAGGAATGCAAAGATACAGAATGGGGGGCGCCTGGCTCGAGAGCAGTACGTGTGAAAAAGATCTTGGGAGTCGTCGTGGACAACAAGTTAAACATGAGCTAACAATGTGATGTGGCGGCAAAAAAAGCCTACGGGATTTTGGCCTGCATCAATAGAGTATAGTGTCTAGATCCAGGGAAGTCATGCTACCTCTCTATTCCGCTTTGGTTAGACCACACCTGGAATACTGTGTCCAATTCTGGGCGCCACAATTGAAGGGAGATGTTGACAAGCTGGAATGTGTCAAGAGGAGGGCGACTAAAATGATCAAGGGTCTGGAGAACAAGCCCTGTGAGGAGCAGCTTAAGGAGCTGGGCATGTTTAGCCTGAAGAAGAGAAGGCTGAGAGGAGATATGACAGCCATGTATAAATATGTGAGAGGAAGCCACAGGGAGGAGGGAGCAAGCTTGTTTTCTGCTTCCTTGGAGGCTAGGACGCAGAACAATGGCTTCAAATTACAAGAGAGAAGATTCCATCTGAACATGAGGAACTTCCTGACTATGAGAGCCGTTCAGCAGTGGAACTCTCTGCCCCGAGTATGGTGGAGGCTCCTTCTTTGGAAGCTTTTAAACAAAGGCTGGATGACCATCTGTCGGGGGTGCTTTGAATGCATGTTTCCTGCTTCTTGGTAGGGGTTTGGACTAGCTGGCCCATGAGGTCTCTTCCAACTCTTTGATTCTACTGCAGCCAAAATACTTTTATTTCCAGTTATGATCCTCCAACAGTTTGGAAACTGTCTCCTCGCCACTCTGCATGCAAGGCCTCCTTGACAATGAGAAGGTTGTATTGTCAAAGGCTTTCATGGCTGGAATCACTAGGTTCTTGTGGGTTTTTTCTGGCTATAGAGCCATATTCTAGAGGCATTTCTCCTGACGTTTCGCCTGCATCTATGGCAAGCATCCTCAGAGGTAGTGACCTCACTACCTCTGAGGATGCTTGCCATAGATGCAGGCGAAACGTCAGGAGAAATGCCTCTAGAACATGGCTCTATAGCCAGAAAAAACCCACAATAACCTAATGAGAAGGTTTTTCATCAGAGGCTGGATGACCCATCTGTCGGGAGTGCTTAGATTGTGTGGGAATGGGATTAGACTGGAGGTGAACTCTTCCCACACTGTGATTCTCATGCCTGAAGTCCTATTGGTCCCTCCATCCTTCAGGAAGTCTCTAACGTTCTTCGTAACTTCCTGTCGTCTTTTTCGAAGGAAGCCCGTTCTGAGCCAGTCCCCGCCCCGATGCTTGCTTCCTGATTGGTCTCCGCCCCGCCTCCCTCCCTTCCGCGCGCCGCTATATGATTGGCTGCTGAAAGTTCCTTCCTTCTTTTTCTCCTCTCGCGGCTGCAAGGGAGGCCGGCAAGATGGTGAGCTCCGGCGCGGCCTTGGGAGTTCAATCGGGGGGCCTTGTGCAATCCGTTGTGGCCCGGCGCCATCCTCCGCCCTGCGACCCTCGGGGCCGGTGGGCTCCCTTCGACTCGAGCCCCCTGACTCTTTCCGACGGATATTGGGCTGGAGAGGAGGGATGGAAGCGTCCTAATCCAGCCCTGAATAACTCCCCCCCCCATCCTTTCCCCTCAGCATAGTGTTCCTCTGAGGCCTGCTCTTTGTCTCAAATAGAGCGAAATAACGCCTTTGTAATGGCATTATCGCTTTCTTTTGCTCCCAAAGACTTCTATTAGTCCAGGGCAATGTTGCTTCTAGAGGGCCACAGGTTTCCCTTCCCTTCTGTATATTAATCTCATTTTCTGAGTCTGGAAGCATGCATTTTTCCCAGAACCTTTAGGATTGTTAGCTGCCATTTCTCATAGTTAAAATGAGGCTGATTAGAGTTGGAGAATGCTTGGATGTTTGTTAAAAACCAAGATTCCATTTGAACATTAGGAAGAGCTTCCTGACTCTGAGAGCCGTTCAGTAGTGGAACTCTCTGCCCTAGAGTATGGTGGAGGCTCCTTCTTTGGAAGCTTTTAAGCAGAGGCTGGATGGCCATCTGTCGGGGGGTGCTTTGAGTGCAGTTTGCCTGCTTCTTGGCAGGCGTTGAACTGGATGGCCCAGGAGGTCTCTTCCAACTCTAGGATTCTATGAAGTACTAATTGTATATGAATCCTGACTTTTTTGGAATGTATTTTTTCCCAGAACCTCTAGGATTATTAGCTGCCCATTACTCATAGGTAAAATGAGGCTGATTGGAGTTGGAGAATGCTTGTTAAAAACCAAGTACTATTAGTGTATGAATCCTGACTTTTTTGAATGTATTTATCTATTGCAGAATGACACAGTGACCATCCGAACAAGGAAGTTTATGACAAATAGGCTGCTTCAGCGCAAGCAGATGGTGAGACGATGCTTCTGATTACTGTTTAAGTTTAACTGGATTGTGTTTAGTCACGGATGTACTGGACATTGGATCTTTACTACAGTATTCTGTGTCATTTTTGTTTTTGCTTGTCAGTGCTTTCCACTACTTTGGTTAACAAAACTAGCTGATATCAGAGTGACTGAAATACAGTAAATAATGGTGACATTTTGGAATAGTACTCTATTATTTTTTTTCTTCCTTCTGTCCCCGTCTTTGGTTAGCGTTATTTTTATTTATTTCCATAGTATGTGGCACCATTGAGAGATTATTTTGCATCCACCTACAGTTTCGGAATTGTTAGAACTACCTTTCGTTACCATCCGTGTTTAGCATTATTTTTATTTATTTCCATAGTATGTGGCACCATTGAGAGATTATTTTGTATCTACCTACAACAGTGGTTCTCAACCTGTGGGTCCCCAGATGTTTTGGCCTAGAACTCCCAGAAATCCCAGCCGGTTTACCAGTTGTTAGGATTTCTGGGAGTTGAAGGCCAAAACATCTGGGGACCCACAGGTTGAGAACCATTGACCTACAGTGTTGAAATTGTTAGAACTACCTTGCTTAAGTTGCTACGTAAGTTCTATAGAAGTGTACTGCTCATTCTTGATTAGTCTTGCTATGCATTATTGATTGATTGATAGATTTTATATAATTTATATACCACTTTTCTCAACAAGGTAAATGGCGAAATTCAATGCCTCACAGAGTACAACATATAACACATAATTAAAATAGCATATAAGAAAAGGTTAAAACCAGAAACGAAAACATCAAACATAGATGACATAAAACATAGAAAATTTGACATTGCACCAATCCCAAAGTTGTCGACTGCATCTCGCGCCCCAAATGCTTGCTTTAAAAGCCATGTTTTAAGTAGTTCCCTAAATGTCAGGAGGGGGGTCGATCTGATCTCACTGGGGAGTTCCACAGCCGAGGGACCACCACTGAGACGGCCCCATCTCTTGTCCCCACCACTTGTGCCTGTGAGGGTAGTGGGACCAACAGCAAGACCTCAGCCGATCTTAATGCTCTAGCTGGCTCATGAAGGGAGATATGTTTGGATAGATAAACTGGACTGGGACTGTTTAGAAATTTATAGGCTAAAGCTAGCACTTTGAATTGTGCTTGGTAGCAAATCAGCAGCCAGTGGAGCTTGCTCAACAGTACTGATTCCTGTGGGACTCCATAGGACAATAGCCGTGGTTTCCCCCAGCAACACCTCCTGAGAATGTCCATCTAGGAAGGACAGGAGCCACTGTAAAACAATGCCCCCAAGCCCTATATCCTCGAGGCATCCCAGAAGGATACTGTAGTCTATGGTATCGAAGGCTGATTAGTATTTCATTGTGTTAGATCAGTATTTCATTATTACTGATGTAAATCTATACAACCTGAGCAAATCATGCTGAAATCATGGCTCTGTGGTTTAGCCAGATCATCATCATAATTTTTATTTTTGTCCACCTCTCCTCATAGCTTGAAGTGGGTTACAACATTGCTACGACACACATTCACCTAAAAACATAGCTTTGTTATAGTGGTTACTTTTGTTTTTTGTATTTTAAGTTTTTGCATCTGTTTGAGGTGTTAAACTGCTAATTAAGTAATTCATTTGATGTATTATATAAATGCGATTTGGTTTTTAAAGAAAGAATTGCAGTTTGGAGATTTACTGGTGTGCTTATAAGTTTGCACTTCACCCTATTGTGCAAGTTCTGTTTAAAAATGAGCTTTAGCTTACTTGCATGAGTTGCTGGAATAGCAGTTTAAGCATATATGTTTCTGGCCTGCTTCATATGCCATGCTTTAAAGACACTTCCAAATGAAGCGTTGCCCTATTTCATTGATGATTCATGGGCAATTCAGATGGTGTCTTCTTCTTCTTGCCACCATATTTGAAATTGTTTTCCAATCTTTTGCTTCTAAATCCATTAAGGGCTAATACAATAGCATGATATGGGGCTGTTTAGAAGAACACTGTGTGTCTATGAGGAAGGGACATGTAAGTTCATTTATGGCTTGCGTGTGGGGCACTGCAATTGTGCTCCGGATAGTAATTCATATGAAATGTGTATGCTTAAAAAATATTTCTCTTTGCAAAATGCCACAGTGTTTAATGGATTGTCAATGTTGTATTTGTAGGTAATCGATGTTTTACATCCTGGAAAGGCCACTGTCCCCAAAACTGAGATCCGCGAAAAGTTGGCAAAAATGTACAAGACCACACCAGATGTCATTTTCGTCTTTGGCTTCAGAACCCATTTTGGGGGTGGAAAGACGACAGGCTTTGGCATGATCTATGATTCCCTGGACTACGCAAAGAAAAATGAACCAAAACACAGATTAGCCAGGGTAAGATTATTTGACTGCTGTTAGGCCAGCCGTTGTGCTAAAAGGATGTCATTGTCATTGCGTTTTAAGTGTTTACTGCAGGTTGAGTATCTCTTATCTGAAATTCTTAGGGTCAGAAGTGTATCGGATTTTGGAATATCTTCATTTACACACACAAACATATAATGAGATACCTTGGAGCTGAGACCTAGGGCCCTTTCAGACAGGCCCAAAGCCCAGGATATGATCCCAGGTTTTCTGTTTATCTCAGATTATCCGGCAGTGCAGACTCATCCAATCCAATTTAAAGCAGAAAACCTGAGATCAGATCCTGGGATATGAGGCCTTTCTGGAAGGGCCCCTAGTTTGGAAAATGGAATTCATTTATGTTTTGCATATGCTTTTATATGCGAAGGCTTAAGCTAATTTTATACAATTTTTTATGTCATAGTGAATTAAAAGTTGGCGTATGTCACTATTTCAGCCAATGATTTTAGATTTTGGGGTATTTCAGAATTCTGGATGTAAGATGCTTAACTTTTATAGAGCTACATTGTTCTTTCATCTCAAATATGGCTTATACTTTTTCACCAAAGCATTATGTATATTAAAATTTGGAATTTTATTATTTTCCTTCCATCTTTTATTTAAAGAAACATACTCTCACTACAACCCTGGAGGGCCAATCTATCGAATTGGGATTTGAAACGTCCATGTTCAAGTGCCTACTAAGTCATGAAATGGTCCAGTTACGTTGAGTCTAATATATGCCACAGAGTAGTTCTTAAGACAAACTTAAGAAGGAGGAGAACCATACCTCCTGCCCCCCCCCCCCCGTTTAATTTTTAGGAAAGACAGGGTGTGTATATGTATATTCTTAAATGCACCCTGTGAGGTAACTTAAGCCAATGCAATGTTTGGACTCTTTCTTTGGTTGTGGTGAGTTTTCCGGGCTGTATGGCCATGTTCCAGAAGTATTCTCTCCTGACGTTTCACCCATTTCTGTGGCAGGTATTCTCAGAGGTTGTGAGGTATATTGGAAACTAGACAAGGGAGGAGTATATATCTGTTGAAGGTCCAGGGTGGGAGAAAAAACTCTTGCATGTTGGAGGCAAATGTGAATGTTGCAATTAATCACCTTGATTAGCATTGCAAAGTCTTTCAGCTTCAAGGCATGGCTGATTCCTGCCTGGGGGGATCCTTTGTTGGGAGGTGTTAGCTGGCCCTGATTGTTTCATGTCTGGATTTCACCTGTTTTCACAGTGTTGCTCTTTATTTACGGTCCTGATTTAGAGATTTTAAATACTGCCAGATTTTGTTCATTTTCATGGTTTCCTCTCTGTTGACATTGTCCACATGCTATGTTGGCTCTTCTTCCTGTTTCTCATAACACTATTCAGAGTACGGTGTTAGTTCATTTTTTTTTTTTTTTGGTAAAATGGCATAATATGAAGCACCTACGGAGCGTTTAGATTGGTACATGTAAAAGATTGATGTACATTTCTAGTATAGATGCATTTTAATACACTGCCTGTATAGGTTGTATTGGATACAGTTTCATAGGCAAGATGCATAGTAAGCACTGATACCCACCTGTATTCTGAAACTTCTGAAAAAATTGGCAATTCTGTGATACCCAACACTACTTTATTTTCTGTTATATATTAGCACGGCTTGTATGAAAAGAAAAAGACTTCAAGGAAACAGCGTAAAGAACGCAAGAACAGGATGAAGAAGGTCAGGGGAACAGCCAAAGCAAACGTTGGGGCTACCAAGAAGGTAAGATGAACCAATCCTTCCTCCCAAATACAGATTACTATTGTAACACTGTTATCCATTACACCAGCAAAATAAATTTTCTGTTTTTTCCAACATTCAACTTACTTCCGGATCACAGAAGGTAATTCTGAGATAGCGTGTGGTTCATAGCTCCCACAGTAGTTTAGTTTTTGTGCACCTTTTGCTACTTAATAGATAACAAAGTAGTTCCAAGTGTATAATCTCCAAAGTCTTCATCTGAAGATGAAATGTTTTGGAGCGTGTCTTCCCTTTTTCCTCCCTCGGTTGCATTGAAGCAGTACTCTTCTCCTTACCCTAACCTAACCAAATCTGTGACAAATAGAAAGCAAAACAAATACTCATTGATATATAGCAGAGATGAAAATTCATAGAGCTTTTAAACCAAATGCAACCTTTGCTTAACAAATAGTTTGCAAAGCAATACACGAGGCTTTTAATATGGGCATGATTTAAAATTGGCTTTTCAGTATTTCTCATTCCTGTAGAAAGATAGAATAGATGAGTTTTTTTGAAGTGTGGCTGAATTGCTTTACATACATTCTTTCTTTTGATTACTAGTAACCCTTTTATTTTCACTTTTCTTTCCTACTTTCTTGGAATTCTTATTGATCAGAAATGAAGTGTCTAGCAGGTACTGAGAATAAGCATGGATGTGATTGCATGAATTATGCATCACTTGCTTGATTTCCTATAGCTCCCTGGCTTTATCTGTGTGGTTTTGCATTGGAATAGAACTTCTGTGTATGTTTATAGTTTCAAGCATCAGGTAGGTTGCCACATACTTTGCCAGAAATGTTTGGTTTAGTTAGAAAACAAACTAATGTTAAATACCTTTTCCTTCTATACAAGGTATTTTGAAGTTTTTTGATTGGAACATATTAATTCAAGCATGGCCTTAAATTTCCAAAATATGTGTTGCATGTTACTACAGTTTTTGGAAAGTGAGACTTCATATTGAAGAGCTAAAATCAATACTAGTTATTCCTAGCATAGACTTATTGAAATGAATCAGGCTTCTTAATCATAACTAACATAGTTTTTTCACTGGATCTACTCTTAAGTATCACTAATCAATTGAACCGTAATGTTAACTGTGTGCCAAGCCAAATTATATGAAAAGCAGTATGTTAAGCACTTATTTGTATAGGTTGGCTGAATGATGTTGTTGGGCTTGGCCTCATGTAAGCCGCTCTGAGTTCCTTGGAGAGATGGTGGCAGGGTATAAATAAAGTTTATTATTTATTGTCAAAGGCTTTCATGGCCAGAATAACTGGGTTGTTGTAGGGTTTTTTTTGGGCTATATGGCCATGTAGCCTGAAAAAACCTACAACAACCCAAAGTTTTTATTATTATTATTATTAATTATTATTATTATTATTATTATTATTATCGAACACCACTGGTAACTGGTTTCCCTGTGTAAAATAATTAACTAATAATAATAATATTTTTTTTATTTATATCCCTCCACCATCTCCCAAAAGGGACTTGGGGCAGCTTACAAGGCACTACAAGTGTAGTATATACCATAAACGGTACATAAAAACAATATCACATAAAGTTATAAAAATGACCACTATTAACACATAAAATAAAATAAAAATAATCTAAAATGCAGATCATCTGTAGTTAAAACTAGCTGACTTCAAATCACAACTGAAGTGCCAAAGTGTCAAACCTCATATGGGCCCATTACTACTCGAGGCCAAAAGTCTGCTTATAAAATTTATTTATTTATAACATATACGTCTTTTTATAATGTTATATTAAAACATTATTAAAAAACTTATATGTTATAAATAAATAAACAAGAGTATTAGCATTTGTAATTGACTACTGTTGAGAGAGGCATCCAGTTAATATCCCTGTACTCCTGCTCAAAGACTTACCACCATCCCCATGAGGGCTGTGTTGAAAATGTTTACTACAGAAAGTTTGTTGAAAATGTTTACTACAGACAGTTTTCCTCATATTGTGGAGAAGTGAAATGAGCATGATCTCTTCAGTATTAATATGCATCTTTGTAAGAATAAGTAGTCTTATTAAAATATGATACAACATATTCTAAATCATTTATACAGGGTTATCTAGTTACATGAGTCCTACCTCTGGCTTAAAGCAAGCAAGGGTAGAGCACACACATGGGCTTTAAGGGAGACACGTGCTTCCTGGAACCCCAAAGCATCCACCTTTTAGTAAAGAGTGAAAATTAAAGGAGCCTGTGATCATATGCCCTGTAGTCCACTCTTACCTGGCCCGTATTCCAGTTTCAGTAAGATGTCTAAGTAAAGGTATGAGAAGGTGGCATCATGGTGTACACTGTGCTATATGTATGCTGTTTGTAGCTTACTTGACCAAGAACACAACAGTATTAGAGATGTTGGAATTTGGAGTTGATACAGCTCTAACTTGGTTCACTTATGCTATTATGGCCTCTTGGGTGCTTAAAAACGGCAGCTGCTGCTGCAACCAATCCTGTACTGCAGGATGATTATCCACATACTGTAAACAATGTTTCAAAAATCTAAAATAGTTTTGAGTGCTTCGAGAGCAAGATTTTTAGGCTTTGATTTGCCCGTTTTTCTTTTTTAATCTCAAAAGTTTTTATTTTTACAATTTTTTTACAGAAATTACATTTTAATCAAGATCAAATAAAATACATTGGCATTATTTCTTCCCCTCTCTACCCCTTTCCCAAAATCTACACATATATGTATACATCAACACATACACTTCTGAGCAGTGCCTACAATAATTGGGTTGCTTTGAGTTTTCCGGGCTGTATGCCATATTCCAGAAGCATTCTCTCCTGACGTTTCGTCCACATCTGTAGCAGGCATACTCAGAGGTTCTGCGGTATATTGGAAATAAGACAAGGGAGGCTTATATATCTGTTGAAGGTCCAGGGTGGGAGAAAGAACTCTTGTCTGTTGTTTTCTGTTATACTCTGTTCTTCCCTTTCACCCCTCCTTTTGCAGTGACATTCATATACAATGTTGCCCTTCCTTCGCAAAACATTGGTCCGTTCTTCCTTCTAGCTCAAGAACCATCTAAAAATTCTAACAAACACCAAATTAAGGAGCCTATTCTAAAATATTTCCCCTTCTTCCCACAAAGCTCAAAGACAGTTACCATTCCATAACAAAAGTTCTTCTCTATTTTGTTCCTTTTCATCACAGCCAATTTATCCACATCCCTCATTCCAAAAACTTTCACTATCCATTTTCTTTTGTACTTTTCTTTTTTTTTTCTCCTTCACCAAAAGTCCCTGTCCTTTTGCCTTATTCTCTAATGGTGTATTCTCCAGTAGCCCGTTTTTACCTTAGCATTTAGATTAAATAATTGGACTGGGACTCCGTGGGCCCGTCCACACTGCCATATATTCCAGTTCAAAGCAGGTAATTTGGGATTTTATTCATTCGTGTGGAAGGGGCCTGGGAAGCCAGGGTTTGAATCCACACTCACCCATAGCACGTCATAGTCTGGTAGCTTCAGCAATGGCAAACCCCCTCTAGCTAAAACTTGCCAAGAAAAGCTGATGCTAGGGGTTTCCCATGGGCTCACCATAAGTCAGAAAGGACTCGAAGGCACCCAGCAGCACAATAACTCCTTGATCCTGCCCAGTAGTCAAGAACTCTCAGGTTTTTGTATTATCTTCAATGTTTGGTTAACCCTATCAACATGCTCCTCAAATACTCATTTCAAGTTGCTTCTCAAATACTCACCAGTTCTGTTTTCAAAATACCCATGACTGGTTTTGATTTTCTTCAAAACCTCATTGAATCTTGATTTCCTTTTTCATCACTGTACCCTAATCTGTTTCACCAGAAATGTAGATCGTAACATGGTTGTACCTGAAATCCTAATAATGTGATCTGGTTTTTTAGTTCTCGAAGATCAATTCATAGTATTTTCTTTGGGAAAATGAGACATCTGACAGTAATTTTGGCGTGGCCTGAAACAATTCTTGTGTCTTTTAAAAATATGTTAAAGGTGTACTAAATGTTTGTTCCTTTTTTTCTTGCAGTGAGCCAACATGTGGATACAACAGGTAGAGTTGTTTTTGATTCATTATTTTGTTTTGGTTGCAGTATACCTTATGGATAGTTACTTGGGAGTAGATTCCTTCTAAAAGTTTGGTTGATAAGTCTGATAATAAGCTCCCTCTGACTTTATGTTGGCCTGGCTTTTCCATATGCCCCAGTAATTCCTATAACTATATCAGGGGGCTTTTTTAGCTTATTAAAAATTGTGTGTTGTTTGTTTCGAATTTATGTTTTTAAGTTACGTGTTAAATGTTTTGTGTTTGTACCCGAGTTACAAACTTCTGATTTGGAAATGACACATAGTTAAGAACGGTAGTAAGACAACAGTAAGACAACAGGAAGTGAGAGAAATCTTCCCTTAGGAAGGGCAGTTCACACCTGAAAGAGTTATGGGAAAAGGTGTCTCCACTGAAGATATACCACCAATCTTTATTTCCACAATAAGCCAACTTTTTTCAAAATCCAGTTCTCACAGGGACAGAAAGTGAGGCGATACCTTCTGAACTGGGGCATCTTGTTTTTAACTTTGGGCCAGTTGGTTGCGTCTTGTAGGAAGGCACCCTATGTTGCAATTAATTAATTGTGGTGGAGGGATTTGTTAATTTGATAAGATAGAATTTTATTTTATTGTCTGACAAGTCTGACACCCTTTTCCTTTTTCTCCCTCTACAGAAAAACTAAATTATGCCATCGGAAAATCCATGAAGATAGTACTGATTTGCCAGTGCCCCTTCAAATAAATTGTATAAAAAAATTAACACTTTGGTTTCTTGGGTTTTGTCTTTAGTTGATGGATAGGACTGCTCAGATGTGTGAATGTCAACAAAAGAAAAACAAAAACCAATATTTTCCCATGATATTGAATAAAATCATCTTGGAGTGGGCAGGCTTTAATCTGGAGGCCTGTATGTGTCATTGGCCACCTCCTGGGTGGCCAGCGTTTCTCTTTCTTTTCATTATATCTCTTTGTCCTGAATTGAATCAAAGATGACTTACAACAGTAATTAAAACAAAATAGATGCATTAGATTTACTAATAATATTAATAGTTTAACACAATACAGATGCATTTAATAATCATGTTGAGAGTAATTAAAATACAGTTGCATTTCCACTAGCTACTCTTAAGTCAACATTGACTTAATGGCAGCCTATGAATGAGCTTTCTATCAGTAGCCTTACTCAGTTTTTGAAGATTCAGGGCTATGGTTTCTTTGGTTGAGTCTATCAATCTGGAATGTGTCTTATCAATTTCCTCCTGCTTCCTACTTCGCCAAGCATTGTTGCCTTTTTTTCTCATCTTCTCATGAAACTGTCAAGGAGCTCCCGGTGGCATAATGGGTTAAATCCTTGTGCTGGCAGAACTGCTGACCAAAAGGTTCAGGGTGAACTCTGTTGGCTCCAGCTAATGCAGGGACATGAGAGAAGCCTTTCACAGGATGGTAAAACATCAGGGGGTCCCCTGGGCAACATCTTTGGCTTCTAGAGAGGGTTCAAGGTTTTGCTGTAGGATCCATGTATTCTTTTTAGCAGCCCAAGGTATCAGCACATTTCAAATGAGTTAATTTTTTTCCGATCAGCTTTCTTCACAGTCCAACTTCTACAACCATACATAGAAGTGATAACTACAATGGTATGGACAATCCTAACTTCAGTATTCAATGAAAGACACTTCAGTATCTTGTTCAGTTCTGCCTTTCCAAACCCCTATAGCTTCCAATCAGATGAGTGGCTGAGCCAAGATACCAGGAATCTTGGAACTATTTCAATTTCTTTATCTATTGCATCCAAATAAGATAAGGTCATTTTTTTGTGGTCAACTCTAAGCTTGCAATTGCACTTTCTTCCTTGCTTAAGTAATTGCTCCAGGTCTTTGCTATTTTCTACTAGTAGTTCTATTTATTTATTTATTTATTTATTTAAAGTATTTATATTCCACCCTTCTCACCCCGCAGAGCACTCAGGGCGGATTTCAATGTACACATGTATGGCAAACATTCATTGCCATAGACACACAACACATATAGACAGACAGACAGGCTATTTAACATTCCAACTTTACTGACCACCGGGGGAGCTGTCGCTTCACCGTCCCATCTGCGACACTGATGAAGTACTTTCCGCACTCCCCACATGCTTTGCTGGAGATTTTTTTTATGGCCTCCTCCCCACACATAGGTGGTACCTAAATTTCCTACTTGACAGATGCAACTGTCTTTCGGGTTGCAAAAGTTGACAACAAGCTACACAAAATTGGTCGGAAGCTCACTCCGACCCGGGCTGGCTTCGAACTCATGACCTTTCAGTCAGTAGTATAGTATCTTATCTTAAATTAAGGTTATTCAATTTTCACATTGCCTTCATCTGAGTGTAATCCTGCTTACCTATGAAGCTCCATACCTTCAATGTACATTTTAAACAGATGGCTGATAAAATGCATCTTTGCATGACTTCTTTGCCAATTGGAAACCATTAAGTTTCTCTATATTCTATGCTGATGATAACTTATTGCCCTGAGTGTAGGTTATGGACATCAGAACAATAGAATATGGCATACCATTCCTTTATAGGTTTTAATGATCTATACAATTGAAGGCTTTGACAATAATATACAAAGCGCACCTTGATTTTTTAACTTTTGTATGCAACACCAGAGGCACTCCCAATTGGCCAGCTACAGGTCAAAGGATTATTTAGTATAATGCCAAGTTTTTAAACTTTGTGTTTTTAAATATATTACAACTGTACCCTTGCTTCGCTTCTGACATCTATATAAATTAAAATGTAATGTTCGTTTGTGGGATTAACATAACTCAAAAACCACTGGACAAATTGACACCAAATTTGGACACGATACACTTATCAGGCCAACGAGTGACCATCACTCATAAAAACACTGAAAAACAACAGAAGAGGCTTAAAAAGCCAAAAAAACAAAAAAAGTACATTATAACGCATGCTCAAAACTACATATATACACAAACACACATATACACAAATATATACATACACATATATACACACAAAAACATACAGACGGCCACAGCAACACGTGGCAGGGGATGGCTAGTGATAAATCGTACCCCTTTGTTAGATCTGCCAACAACCCAGCTAAGTATTGGGGAGTTTCCAGAACCTCTGAATTATACATGTATATCCTGTGCCTGAATTGAGTCCTCGAATAGCTCCATGTGCGGTCCTCTAAAGCAGGCTTGACAACTCAAGTCAGAAGGGGAAGTGAATATTTTCTGGCTTCTATGATTGTTGTTTACCCACTGCTGATTAAAATGGATATTTGGAAATTGTAGCCTAAATAGCTTAAAAGACACCAGGTCCCACCTGATCTTCAAAACTAATCAGGGTTAGCCCTTGTTAGTACTCTTATGGATATTGCTGATATTGCAGGATGAATTTCTGAGGATGGAACTGTCAAAGCCACTTCTGAGTATTCCTTACCTTAGAAAATTTTATGACATACATGGGATGGCCATAAATCAATAGGTTGACTTGAAGGCACACAGGTTAAAAATTGATAAAGTATCAAGTGTGCGAAAGCAGGTGTTTGAATGTGAGACAGTGAGTGAGTAGGTGCATATGCCCAACAACAGATAACCTTTTTTGGTGAAGGATCACTGTTTAAATTACAGGGCTACATAATATAGAAATGGGTTACCTGGTAAAATTTTAACAATTTTTAAAACTCCTCAATCTGCCTTCCTCCATTTCCCAGAATTCTGCATGATAGTATATAGTTGTGGTTTTCATGCTGTTTTGAGGAAATGGATTTTGTGTAAGTTTACTTAAATTCTTCAATGAAGTCAGTATTTGTGGATAAGAATAATATCGCTTCTTCCCTGTTTATCCTGCAGCTATTAATTCCCCTGAAACAGCAAGAGAGTGATCAATGTGTTTTAGGCCCTTTTTGCAAGTCATGCCAGGTAGGGACGGCCAACCAGTGTGCCAAGTGAGCAGACCTTGTCTTCAAATATTCGGTAGCTCAGTGGGGTTTTCTGACTGATATTTTGGGGTTCCTCAGCAGTTGATGGAAATAGTTCACTAAAAGTGGGAAATCTTAAAACCACTGACTTCTTCATGGAGCATTTTAATATTGAAGGAGAGTGAGAACTTCAGTATGAGCAAAACAGCCTTAGCAGCTGTATCAGTCCTCTTTTCCTTCTGACATCCTCCTTTGAAATTGCTTTTCAGCTGATGGTTCTGATCTAGTAATGATGCCTCTGGGGCCTAATTAACAGGAAAATGGCAATTATGCCTTCATGCCAGAGCTTCCCAATGTGTTACCTCTGAAGTTTCTCACTTACTTGTGCTAACAAATTAACTTTTGCAGGGGGTAGCTTTTCTGCTGAGGATGAAATGCAAAAAAAGCTAAATTGCTACTTTCTTGAAGAAAGTTCTGTGTGGCCTGTGCATTTTCCTGTTTAATTTTTTGCTGAAACGGACAACATTTTTTGGTGAACTTGCTCATCCAAACGGTGCTGTTTTACCCCCAGGTTGATAAAATTCTAGAGATCTGGTTATGCCTTAAACTTCCTGTCCAGCAATTGACTTTGTGTGAATATTTTATGTCTAGGTTTAAGTTCCGAATAGAAATCTGGCTTGGTTAAAGGTTTGGTTCCTCTTGTTGCATTGGAATATGAAAATCTGTTCCTAAGCGCAGAGTAAATAGACGTTTGATATACAGGATTTATGCAACAATATGTAAGCATATTCTGAGATTCAAACAGCAAATATAAGATTTATGTTCTCACAATTTGAATCCTGCTTGGGGGGGGGGATAAATATGGGGTAAGAACACAACAACTGGACTGTACAAGAGCATTAAATTACTATTTAGTAAGTGTAGAAGGTCTTGTGAAAATGTCAAAGCAAAGAGGTAATTGGAAAGCTCCATTTTGGGGGATTTTAATGCAGACTTTGTAGAATTCTTTCCTCTTTGAAACTTTGGTCCTGCAAGCAGGGGCGCTCAACCCATTACGCAAAGTAAGCATTTGCAGTATAGTTGATTTTGCCCAGGGGTGCTCTTGGGGGAAAATAGACCTTGACATATGCGAATTGTAGTTACTGGGATGTATAGTTCACCTACAATCAAGAGGACAGGAGGCTTATGGATCCGGATGGATTCCTGATGGCTCTTGGGGAGTTTCCCGCCACCTTGGTAGGTGATCCTGTCGAGGCCCTGGTCACTCTCTGGAATGGGGAGATGACTAGGGCAATTGACACGATCGCTCCAGAACGTCCCCTCTCAAGTAGCCGAGCTAAACCAGCTCCCTGGTTCACCGAGGAGCTGGCAGCGATGAAGCGAAGGAAGAGGGAACTAGAGAGTGTGTGGCGTTCGGATCCGAGTGAGCCAAATCGAACACGGTTTGTGTCCTCTTTAAGGGCATATGCCGCGGCAATAAAAGCCGCAAAGAAGGCCTTCTTTGCGGCCACTATTGCGTCTGCAAAGAACCGTCCGGCTGAGCTGTTCCGAATTGTCAGAGGCCTTTTAAATCCCACCACTCAAGGTGGGAACCCTGACGATTCGACTTCTCGCTGTGAAGCTTTTGCTCAGTTCTTTGCAGACAAAGTCGCTTTGATCCGTTCTGGTCTGGATACCATGTTAATGGCAGTCTCTGAGGATGTAACACGAGCACCTGCTTGTCCAGTTTTGATGGATTCATTTCAATTGGTGAAACCCGAGGATGTGGACAAGATACTTGGAGGAATGAGGCCAACCACATGCATCCTGGACCCCTGCCCAT